TCCAGCAGTAACAAAGAAGCCGATGGGATCTGGAAAAAGGTTTCGTATTAACGAAAAATTTGTTGTTTTGATTCAAATACGATTTTGGCTATTGGACGAAAACCGGAACAACAAATTCGCTTCAAGCTAAAAGTCGTAATAGCGAGATTCTCGTTGTACCGAGATTCTAATGTAATATTTTGTATGATAAAAAGCAAGAATCCTATCACAAGAAAAGCCTGATTGATAATTATTTATATTTTACAAGATTTAGTTTCACCTCGATCGCGTTCCAAATCAAAATAAATGAATGAAAAAAATAAAAGGATAAGGAATGCATATTTTGGACATGGAAAGAAAATGACTCAAAGACAAACCACTTGAAGGAATGTCCCAGTAATTTTTCCCCGCATTGCCGTAAAGTTGCAAGTTTTATAAGAAGTAATTAGTTGTTCCTTCATGGTATCGGAAGACTTCTAAGTCTTATGGTCCAGTTTCTACCATCAATACGAGTTCCTTATTCATTTTTTGTACTTATATTCCCGGCCCAGCACTAAATATTTTTCAAATTAACAATAAACTACTCTGCCCCGATTAGCATTTTTCATGCACAGGCCTGAATGCACATTATTCATAAGAATGCTCCAAAAAGTTGTTCACCTTGAGGCAGTTCTGCATTGAAGGAATAACATCATACCCAATATGAATCCAGGAAGTTTTTATTAGCATTTTTCATGCACAGGCCTGAATGCACATTATTCATAAGAATGCTCCAAAAAGTTGTTCACCTTGAGGCAGTTCTGCATTGAAGGAATAACATCATACCCAATATGAATCCAGGAAGTTTTTCAGAATAACAGACATAAACTTGTAATTTCTCATTCAGAAAAATTATACAAAATACGATTTTTTAAACTGAACACAACAGACACAAGATTATCTTGACTTTGATAAAGAAGAATACAATAATCTATTTTGATTATAAATAATGTTTTTCTTTCATATTTCAGAGTGACTGCTTGATTCCAGTTCACAAAAAGTACCTGAACTGTGTAATCTAAAGCTACAGTGCTCTGAATGACTCATTCCAGGTCATACCCTGAAAATTTCCCTTTTAATTTCCTCTGCAGTACTCTACAGTATAAAAAATACTGTATACTGTACTGAACACTGCACTTGAACTATAAAGTACAGTACAACATTACTGTACTTCTAATTCTTGAATACTTTGTACCATGTCCATTGCCTGGACTTGATCATGCAATTTTCCCCCTTGATTCAGGGGCTCTACAGTTCGCATTTTTTGAGGCATAAATTTTTTTAGAATAAAGGCCAGATGAATGGAATTTTCAATTTTGCTTTTAGTCTGTGTATCAGAACCACCCTCTGCTACCACTTCTGTACAATTTTATGGTTACAAAGACAATTGTACATTCCCCAAGAGATTTTTGTTGATGAAATTTCTGGCTTTTTCTAGAGTGTTTCCTGAGGTACAGAAATAATTCAAGTTGACAATTGCCCTGGGCACAACTGGCCAAAGATTAAGCGCATTCAAAAATACCTGGCATGCATGAAAAGCTGTTGTTCTTGGAAAAATGCATAATATAATTATACATGAATATATTTTGGTGCCTTGCCCTTTCAAATTTATGCTTGTTTTGGAGTGAGTAGATGTTGTTGGCTATCAGAATTGCATAAAAGATAGCCTTCAATAATTTAATGCTTAACTGACATTGAACTTTAAAAAAGGGGGCCAATGATCAACACTCAGAAATTGAGTCTTTGAAATTAGAATCAAGATTTCTTGCAAGCAAAATCTATATTCTGGACATTTGCAATGATTTGTTTGATTTTATCTCTGCAATTCTTTACAGAAATTTTCTGGCTACAGCTGGTCAACACTTGCCACTGAAGACAATCCACCAGACAATCCCTTCTCAACAACATCAAATAAAAAATCAAAATGACTGTTGATTCAACAGTGAAAGTAAGCATGCTCAAAACATTGAAAAAGCATAACCAAAATTGTCTGACTTTTTGTTGTTGAACATTTTCATTCAAGTGGTTTTTGTGACCATTCTGTGGAACTTGGGACCATACAATTTGATACCATTTGAAAGAGAATTGAACAAGCTTTCATTTGGTATTTTCTTCATGGCCACAGCTTAATTTGCTACTGAGCTATTTCAATTTCTGAGCTATTTCACTGAGCTACTGTTACTGAGCTATTTCAAGTCAAGAATTGGTTCAATTTTTTTGGCCCACCCTGTTTATGGACCCTTGAAAAGAAACAAAAGAATCCAAGCCTCATATCATGGTTTATTCCTTTTCATTATTTAAAAAGCCAAAAGACACAGTTTTCTGGTAGAATTAGAAGACACAATACAGGATTCCAGCAGCACTCCTAATAATAATAAGTTTCTAGATCCAAATGTTTCCCAAGTAGCATTATCCCATCTCTGCACCTCATCATTTATTAATTTGCACACCAGGTAAATATAAGAGATTAAACACTGAATCCCGGTTCCAGGAATATTCAAAATGAGGTTGACCATGTAGCTCTTTGATACTATTCACAAAGATGACGGCTGTCATAAAATCCTCAGCCTAGGACCATGGAATTATTGTGGATTAGGGACTTGATGGTTTTTTCAGAAATGAGAGGCGCTGACTGGAGATTGTCTTCCTCATATCTCCCATCAGTAGGCTCCACAACGAGTTTTGTCACTAAAAAACTCCCAGTGGTGCTAGTAGCCATCTGACTCCCAAAGATACTTCTCGCTGATGCCTCCAGCATTACCTTTGGAGATTTATTGAAGTCCGCTGGTAAAGTAGTTGTGGATGAAACACCAGTTGTCCTCCCTTTGGCCTGGTTGCCCCAAAAGAGCTGCCTCAGGTCCTTACTGGACATCCCATGACGTCCCAAGATCCTATTGTGATGATTCCCTACTCTGGTCATCACATGCTCTGCCGGAGCTGACTGGTTATTCTTGGGGATGGGATTCGAGCTGGGCATGAGAAGAACGGCTTGTTCGCGTATCCTCTGCGCCCTGAACGGCACAACAATCGTCTTCTTCAACAGCTCAACGTTCACGCGTTGGTCCTTTTTATTATTATCATTATTATTATTCGAGCTGGGAGCGGTTTCCGCCGAAGTCGCGACTTCCGCCGGAGTCGTAACGTCCGTGTTATCACGGATGGCGTCGGAGTGAGTGAATCCCGCCGGGGTTGGCGCCGGCTCGAAAGTATTACTCGGATTTTGAATAAACGGATTTATCACGGCGGCGGTCTTGAGGACGTGGGAGAACATCAATGCCATGTAACGATTGAAAAGCGGGTCCCAGAACATTCTTTGCAACACCAGCCGGAAGAACTGCCCCAGCTGCTCGCCCAACAAATCCACGTGCGGATGAGATGACGAGCTCAATAAGGATCCAACCTGATAATCCACCTGGGGTTCTGTCACTTCCGTGCCATCGGTTCCCGTGGTCAATGGTGCTGATGGCACTACTTGATTGTCGTTGAGAAACGCGTTCTTCGTTCTCGAAAGCGACCCGCCGACTCCATCGAATGTCTCCAAGTAAGACGAAACTGCCGATGATGACTGGTCCTCATTTGGAAGTTTCGTACTCGACACCACGTCCTGATGGTACTTGATGTTATTGGGTATTGGTGTTGTCACCACGGGAAGGTCAGATTTCAACCCTTGTTGATATTCAGCAATTCTTGGCATGTGGTGAAGCATCACGTCCAAAAGGCATCTCCTGTTGAACACGTCCTGGAAATTCGATTTCAACAGCTTGCTGTTGCAACAAACCAGCAGCAGACACAATACTGAAGACACCAATCGCATTTTCAGGCAAAACTTGGGAAAGGAAGAGGATTTTCGACAACTGGGGCAGTTCTCAGCCTTCTCTCCTACATCTTCACCCCTGAACAAACACTTCCTCTAATGATTCCAGTGACGTCTCAGGAGTACAAACAGCGGTGAACTTGATCTCTGAAAATTTTCCCTCAACTCCAGGGGAATCGGCAAATATTTTGCTCCATCAAGGTCAATTTTTTTTGTTTAAATCCTTTGAAAATATTTTGAGGGGGGGGGGCACTTGAATTTTAGATTTCAATAGCGGATGTTGGTAGTAGAATATACTTCTTGTCCAAATGTTTTGTATAGAAAGGTGGAAACGGGATTTTTTGAATCCTGTCTTCATTTTGAGCCTTATATCTCTCTCAACATGGTCATCGTGCTCGATTTCATAAATTACTGATGCATATTTTCTTGCAGTACTTTGCCACTATTTGAAGAACCCCTTAGGTTATTTTCAAAATTTATTGTTTCCAAGAGGACTATGCTCAAAGACACATTTTCAACAAATTTCTGATTTGAGCATAAACCCCTCTTGATGCAATTTTGAAAAAGTTGTGCATTCATGATTCAAACCTGTGGATTTGTGTTTTAAACCTCAAGATTAAAATTTGAATTGAAGGGGTTACGCTTCAAAGTAAAATCCATTTTAAGGAATTTTTTCTGTGAGCATAAGCCTATTTAAACAAATATTTTTTAAAACCTGCAATCTACCCTCTCTAGAAATTTAATTTGATGCCTAAATTAAAAACTGATCTTTTTTGCAAAACCCCTTATATGCACTGTTTTAAACTTTTAATAAATTTCAACCTGATGAAGAAAGTAGTCCTCAAAAAGTGGCACAGTATTCAGCTGGATTTTCAAACATTTTTGGGATTACTGATTTAAAACATTTTTTTCTTAGGTTGAATAACATTCTTTTCTTCCCCATAAAATATTAATAATGTGTATGATTTTTGCTATTTTTTCAGTTATTTATAGGTACAATATGAATTTTCGAATTTTTAGTTGAAAAAAAAAAAAACGTTCGCAATGTGAAATTCGTTCGTTCTGTGATGGTGCTTTTTGCATGAAAAAAAACATTCGTTATACTGGGGGTTCGTTGTACAAGGTATAACGAACATTTATTCTTTGGCTCTTTAGATTTATTGAACAGATGTCACCCGAATCAACGACCCGCCCGAAAAAAAATCGATTATTGACCAAATTCAGCCAGGTTGCCATGGTCACCTGCCGGCCGACTGTTTATACCCGGATGAACCAGCGGGAACAAATTGTATTGCAGACTGGAACCCAGCTGCTCTTGAGCCTGTTGCGTACTATTTCCGTCGCAAATATGGTGAGTGGATTTTCAAATTAAACGTTATAATTTAAAAACTGTGTTCTAATGTGGTGATCTTTTTTTTTGCCTTCTTCCAAACCGAAAGATCCTCTCGCGTTTGAAGCCGGCTAGCAAATCAAAGCCCGGCAGTGCGCCGACAGACACCAAGACCAAGAAGCATGTCCCTACTGCTGACGAATTCTTCCAGAGCAGGGATTTCACCGGAGCCATGACTGTTTTGGAGGTGATTAACTCGTTTTTACATATTTCCTTTGGAATTATTGTTGGGCATTTGTTTTACATTTAAGGCTTTTTTTCAGGAAATTTTAATTTATGTGGAAGCTTTTTTTGGGTGAACAACTACGAACTACAAAATTGTGTCTGTGGAAGAGTTATGTTGAGTTGTTGTTGTGTTTGGTAAAAATTGTGTCGTTGTGCAATTAACTTGAGGGACAAATTTCGAAATATATTCATTCAATTTAAACTGGAAATCCAAAAAAAAAAGGATTCCCGGCCTCGTCCCAGGCTGATCCTGTTTTTTTATTTACTAAATTTTAACCTTTTAAAACTTTACTTTATCTAACACCTTCTGATCCACTAGCAAATATTAGAAATTTATGCTAAGGTAAGTTATTCATAAACAGCTTTAGTTCATCTGAGTCCCAGAGGTAGACTTCGTTTCAAACAAACTTGATAATTTGGAAACATTGTGATCCTGAGGAGTCTGAAAATTCTGTCCATATTTTAGAAAATTAGTGTTGTGTCTCAATCTTGATGATTTTTGTTCTGACTTCATTTATGTTCAAGTTCAGCTGGTTGGGACCATTGTGTATTATTCTTAGAAAAGAAAAAGAATTGCTGATCCTGAACTTTTGGAAAGTAAGTGTGGAGCACATTTTACAAACCAGTTCATTAATAAAACCAAATTGTAGAACCCACAAGAGTCATATGATTTCAGAAAGTCTTCAAAATTTGAAATTATATTTTTGGAAGATTTAGTGTGTGTCAAATATTTTTCTTATCTTAAAATTATTTTCCCATTATTTTAAGATGGTGCAGCACAAAGAATACATTGAATAAGTAATCAATTTGCTTCAAGTTTTCAGAATTTGCTAACGCGGGTGTTTCAGATTTGAGCTTATGCCTGTTATTTATTTGGCATGCAAATATTCTCCCAGAATCTGAAATTGCACAGCACATAGCAACTGTTCTCCAAGAATCTCTCATCAGTTCAACATGAAAAAGACTAAATTTCTTTCAAAATTGCATTTTTTTCAATAAGTTCTATAACAAAAAATGAATGCCTTTTTATTCAGCTGATTAAAATTATGTCACAGGACTAATTCCATTGGTAAAATATTGAAAATTTCAAATGAATGAATGAACAGAACGCTTTATTTTCCGCTTTTCAGCATTCACAAGGTTCAATCAAGATATCCAAATCCAAACCCCCCTCCCCACCCAACCCAAATCCATTCAAAGTCATTCAATCACTTCAGAGCAGGAAACAGAGAAATTATAGATGCAAATTGATAACAAGAATAAAAGAAAATACATTCAACAAAATACTACTGCACAATTGATATGTATGCATACACCCCTTCCTTCAGCAAAAATACTAAAACTTTAAATTTAGTCTTTTTTTGCTGACATTGGTTACATTGAAGTCAATGAAAATGTGTTTTGTTGTTCTTGTAGTTTGATCGGAACAGTGGAAAAGGATCTGATGCGACTGATGAACTCATTGGTTACTGCGCATTTCATCTGGGTGATTACAAAAGGGCTTTACTGGAATATGATGCCATTTCCAAGCGAAGAAATCCTCCTTTATCAGTCTGGGTACACTTGGGATGCTGCTATTTTTATTTGGGAATGCTTACTGAAGCTGAAGAGGTGAGTTTTTTGTGTTCTCTTGAAGAAACTGGGATTTTATTACCAATTGACTCCATCAGGAAACCTTAAAACTCTGATACAATAGGTCTTCTTTGAAATCCTAATTTCATTGTATAGTTATTTTTGAATGAATATATTGCAAGGTTCCCCATATGAAGTCCAAAAGCTTGGCACAGTAGAATTTTGTTACCACTAAATTCGTTATTGCAAAATATGGCTCATATTAATCACCTATAGCAACAAGATTATTTGGGTTTATTTATAAAAAATTTTCTCTTATGAGAAAGCTTTTGTCTCTGGTCTCATGACTTTCTTGTGNACAAGGTATAACGAACATTTATTCTTTGGCTCTTTAGATTTATTGAACAGATGTCACCCGAATCAACGACCCGCCCGAAAAAAAATCGATTATTGACCAAATTCAGCCAGGTTGCCATGGTCACCTGCCGGCCGACTGTTTATACCCGGATGAACCAGCGGGAACAAATTGTATTGCAGACTGGAACCCAGCTGCTCTTGAGCCTGTTGCGTACTATTTCCGTCGCAAATATGGTGAGTGGATTTTCAAATTAAACGTTATAATTTAAAAACTGTGTTCTAATGTGGTGATCTTTTTTTTTGCCTTCTTCCAAACCGAAAGATCCTCTCGCGTTTGAAGCCGGCTAGCAAATCAAAGCCCGGCAGTGCGCCGACAGACACCAAGACCAAGAAGCATGTCCCTACTGCTGACGAATTCTTCCAGAGCAGGGATTTCACCGGAGCCATGACTGTTTTGGAGGTGATTAACTCGTTTTTACATATTTCCTTTGGAATTATTGTTGGGCATTTGTTTTAGATTTAAGGTTTTTTTTTTTCCATGCGAGGAAATTTTAATTTATGTGGAAGCTTATTTTGGGTGAACAACTACGAAATCTACAAAATTGTGTCTGTGGAAGAGTTATGTTGAGTTGTTGTTGTGTTTGGTAAAAATTGTGTCTTTGTGCAATTAACTTGTGGGACAAATTTCGAAATATATTCATTCAATTTAAACTAGGAAATCCAAAAAAAGGATTCCCGGCCTCGTCCCAGGCTGATCCTGTTTTTTTATTTACAGTACTAAATTTGAACCTTTTAAAACCTTACTTTATCTATCACTTTCTGATCCACTAGCAAATATTAGAAATTTATGCTAAGGTAAGTTATTCATAAACAGCTTTAGTTCATCTGAGTACCATAGGTAGGCTTTCATTCAAACAAAACTTGATAATTTGGAAACATTGTGATCCTGAGGAGTCTAAAAATGCTGTCCATATTTAAGAAAATTAGTGTTGTGTCTCAATCTTGATGATTTTTGTTCTGACTTCATTTATGTTCAAGTTCAGCTGGTTGGGACCATTGTGTATTCTTAGAAAAGAAAAAGAATTGTTGATCCTGAACTTTTGGAAAGTAAGTGTGGAGCACATTTTACAAACCAGTTGATTAATAAAACCAAATTTTAGAACCCACAAGAGTCATATTATTTCAGAAAGTCTTCAAAATTTGAAATTATATTTTTGGAAGATTTAGTGTGTGTCAAATATTTTTCTTATCCTGTAATTATTGTTCTATTATTTTAAGATGGTGCTGCACAAAGAATAAATTGAAGTACTGTATTCAATTTGCTTTAAGTTTTCAGAATTTGCTGACGCGGGTCTTTCAGATTTGAGCTTATGCCTGTTATTTATTTGACATGCAAAGATTCTCCCAGAATCTGAAATTGCACTACATAGCAACTGATCTCCAAGAATCTCTCATCAGTTCAACATGAAAAAGACTAAATTTCTATCAAAATCGCATTTTTTTGCAATAAGTTCTAGAACAAAAAATAAATGCTGGAAGCCATTGAAATTATGTGAGGACTAATTCCATTGGTAAAATATTGAAAATTTCAAATGAATGAATGAACAGAATGCTTTATTTTCTGCTTTTCAGCGTTCAGAAGGTTCAATCAAGATTTCCACATCCAAACCCCCCTCCCCACCCAACCCAACCCAAATCCATTCAAAGTCATTCAATCCCTTCAGAGCAGGAAACAGAGAAATTATAGATGCAAATGGATAACAAGAATAAAAGAAAATACATTCCACAAAATACAACTGCACAACTGTATTGTATGCATACACCCCTTCCTTTAGCAAGATACTAAAACTTTAAATTTAGTCTTTTTTTGCTGACATTGGTTACATTGAAGTCAATGAAAATGTGTTTTGTTGTTCTTGTAGTTTGATCGGAACAGTGGAAAAGGCTCTGATGCGACTGATGAACTCATTGGTTACTGCGCATTTCATCTGGGTGATTACAAAAGGGCTTTACTGGAATATGATGCCATTTCCAAGCGAAGGAATCCTCCTTCATCAGTCTGGGTACACTTGGGATGCTGCTATTTTTATTTGGGCATGCTTACTGAAGCTGAAGAGGTGAGTTTTTTGTGTTCTCTTGAAGAAACTGGGATTTTATCACCAAGTGACTCCATCAGGAAACCTTGAAACTCTGATACAATAGGTCTTCTTTGAAATCCTCATTTCATTGTATAGTATAGTTCTTTTTGAATGAATATATTGTAAGGTTCCCCATATGAAGTCCAAAAGCTTGGCACAGTAGAATTTTGTTACAACTAAATTCGTTATTGCAAAATATGGCTCATATTAATCACCTATAGCAACAAGATTATTTGGGTTTATTTATAAAAAATTTTCTCTTATGAGAAAGCTTTTGTCTCTGGTCTCATGACTTTCTTGTGCTGTGGATAATAACTGAAATTTCTTCATTCATTATTCATAGCACAAAAAAGTCATGGGACCAGGACAAAAGCTTTCTCATAAGATAGAATTTGTTATAAATAAATCTAAATTAATGAATGAAAAATGACTGAAGAAATTTCAGTCCATAGCACAAAAAAGTCATGGGACCAGGACAAAAGCTTTCTCATAAGATAAAATTTGTTATAAATAAATCCAAATAAATGAATGAAAAATTACTGAAAAAATGCCAGTCATTACCCACAAATAAAAGACCAGGACAAAAGCTTTCTCATAAGATAGAATTTGTTATAAATAAATCCAAATACTGTAACTGAATGAAAAATGACTGAAGAAATTTCACTCATTATCCACAGCACACAGAAAAAGTCATGGGACCAGGGACAAAAGCTTTCTCATAAAAGAAAATGTGTGTGCCTTTTATAAAATGGATAAAACGGAAATTGTTTTCTAGGTTTCGTTTTTTCTATTTTCTGGATAATTTTCAAACTTTTCCTCACCCAGGTTAAAACAGAAAGAAGAAAGAGAATTTTGTATTCATGCATTTTTTCACTTGTACAGCATATGATGAACCTTTCACAATTTTTTGAAGTTGCTAGAAAATGAAATGTTTAAAAATTCTCAATTGAAAATTCAGATTAATCGAACACCTTTCCAATATACGAGTTAGAAATAATGTGAGTTACTATATACCCATTTTTGAACTGGTCCTTGTAGTTTTGATGAGTGTTACCAGCTATACTTTCAGGAAATTTTCAGTTCAGATCAGTATAGTTTACAGTAAGGCTTGACAAGCTGATTAAAGTGCAAGATATTCGAGCGTTTCATCCCAGTTTCCAAAAAATATATGATTTTTTAAAGATGGCGACGAAGGCTGAGAATAGCCGATTGAAAACAAGGTTGATGTTCCACCTATCGCACAAGCTGAATGACGAGACAAAGCTGATGGAATATCATCAAATGTTGGAAGACATAATCGAAGACCAGTTGTGCTTGGCTTCAATTCACTATCTCAGATCTCACTACCAAGAAGCTATCGACATTTACAAGCGAATTTTAACCGACAACAGGTTTGTGTTCATTAAACAATAAACAGCATTTTTTTTAATCAAGTGGTAACTTATTCTAAATTTCATAGAAGTGCTTATATTGGCATGAGAGAAGCAATATTTTTCAAGTGGAAATTTCTTTTTATAGAAATGGTTCTGCATGTTAAAGGTTTCATTTATTTACAGTTATTTTCATTTATTGGAGACCCAAAGATGCGGACATAATTGGTGCATCAAAGGTGTCCCTAAGTTGAATGGTCCCTAAGTTGAGTCTTTTTTCCCATAGACTTACATTATATAATTTTTAATTGGTGTTTTACGGAAGAAATATTCTTCAAAATTCCATGAAAAAAAAGTTGTTTGCAACTTTAATTTGATTAAGTGAATATCTTTTCAACCCAATAAGAACATTTGGAGCATTGAATAGTATACTGCTGTACAGTTCATTGTAATATTGGCATCTGTAAAAATAAAATCCAAGTCACAAAGAGAGAAGGCAGTCCCTCTGTGCTATAGGTGGAAATCTCTTTTTATAGAAATGGTTCTGCATGATAAAGGTCTTATTTATTTACAGTGAGACCCCAAGATGCGGACATAATTGGTGCATCAAGAGTGTCCCTAAGTCGAAATGTCCCTAAGTTGAGTCTCATTTTCCCTTACACTTACATTATATAATTTTCAATTGGTGTTTCATGGATAAAATAGTCACCATAATTCCATAAAAATAAAAATTGTCTCCCAATTTAAATTGTTTTGATCAATATATATTTCAACACAACATGGACATTTGGGGAATTGAATACTGATACCTCTGTACAGTACATAGAAATGTTGGCGTTCTCTGTAAAAATAACATTCAAGTGAAAAAGAGAGAAGGAAGTCCCACTAAGGTGGAGGTAATTTTTAAAATTAGCTAAATGGATAGTAAATTGGTGAGAGAAATGCCCAAGAACTTTTCTTAAATCAATTTTAGGGTTAGAAATATCCGTTTCTTGTAATTTGGCCTGAAATGCATTTGCAATTTCATAACAAAATTTCAGTGTCCTCACGTTGGGCATTTTTTATAATTTTTTTTAAGGGAAAATAAGTGTCCCTATGTCGAATTTTCCGCATGTCAAGGTGTCTGCATGTGGGGAGGTCTCAATGTACACTGTATAGTCGCAAATATTGCCAGACAAAATCAAAGTAACCCTGACGAGTTTTTTGCAGGGACTATTTGGCATTGAACGTCTACATCGCCCTGTGTTACTACAAGCTGGACTATTACGACGTCTCGCAAGAAATGCTGCAAACCTACTTGCAACAGTATCCCGACTCCCTCACTGCAGTCAACCTCAAGGCCTGCAACCACTTCCGGCTCTACAATGGCAAAGCCGCCGAAGCCGAGCTGAAGGCTCTCAAGGATGCCTGCTCACCCAATTTCCGTTTCGGCGACGATCTCATCAAGCACAACCTGGTCGTGTTTCGCAACGGCGAAGGTGCTTTGCAAGTGTTGCCAGGACTGGTGGATGTGATTCCGGAAGCCCGGCTGAACCTCGTCATTTATCACCTCAAACAGGATGAGCTGAGGGACGCGTTTTCTTTGATCTCCGAGTTGGAACCGACTGTGCCGCAAGAGTACATTTTGAAAGGGGTTGTTCATGCTGCTATCGGGCAGGAAACCGGCTCTGTGAGTATACTTTTTTGTTGTTGAGTGCATTGTGCGAAAGGTCCAGCACTTTGTTCTATAATATGGCATACCCACCATAACAGTTGTGACGTGCTTCAGTGAAAGTGAGACCCCAAGATGCGGACGTAATGGAGCATCAAGAGTGTCCCAAGTCGAGTCTCATTTTCCCTTAGACTTACATTATAAAGATTTTAATTGGTGTTTTATGTACAAAATACTTACCATAACTCCATAAAAATAAAAATTGTCTCCTAATTTAAACTGATTCCATTCAATGTATTTCAACAGAATATGGACATTTGGGGAATTGAATTCTGATACCTCTGTAGAGTACACAGAAATGTTGACATTCTCTGTAAAAAAAAATAACATTCAAGTGAAAAAGAGACAAGGAAGTCCCTCTCTGCTTGAGGTAATTTTTTTTTAATTAGCTAAATGGATGGTAAATTGGTGAGAGAAATGCCCAATAAATTTTCTTACATCCATTTTAGGGTTGTAAATATCTGTTTCTTGTAATTTGGGCTGAAATAAATTTGCAATTTTATCGCAAAATGTCCCTATATTGAGTCAGTGTCCTCATGTTGGGCCTTTTTTTATTATTTTTTTTAGAAAAAAAGTGTCCCTATGTTGGATTGTCCGCATGTGAGGGTCTAACTGTATATACTGTATAGTAAATGCCAGAAACCATGTGTCTTAATCTCATTAACCAGTTTTTTTTTGAATATCAACTCAAGAAAGTTGCAAGTTTTGCATATCTGTCCCATATCACCTCTGTTTCCAAGTTTTTCCTTCAAAATCTCCTCTATGTCAAATTGATCCAGTATATATAATCTTCTATATACAAAGAGACCCCCACATGCGGACACCTTGATATGAGTACAATTTGACATAGGGACATTTATTTTTCAATAAAAAGGGCAAAAAGGCCTAACATACAGACACTGACTCAACATGAGGACATGGCATGATAAAATTGCCAATAAATTCCACAAAAATTGACTTTTATTTGGCTTGATTACAAGAAAAAATATTTCCAAACATGAGATCTATGCAAGAAAAATTCTTTGTCATTTCTGCCATCATTTTCCCATCCATTCAGCCAATTAAAAATAATTACCTATTGCATAGAGGGACTTCCTTCTCTCTTTGTAACTCAAATGTTATTTTTGTACATGCCAACATTTCAATGTACAGTACAGAGATACACTATTCAATGCTCCAAATGTTCTTATTCAGTTGAAAATATATTCACTGAATCAAATTTGAGTGACAAACAATTTTTTTTCATGGAGTTCTGAAGAATATTTATTCCATGAAACACCAATTGAAAATTATATAATGTAAGTCTATGGGAAAACAAGACTTGACTTAGGGACAATTCAACTTATGGACACTCTTGATGCACCAATTATGTCCACATCTGGGGGTCTCACTGTATATTCTTTTATATAATAAAATATTGAAGTGGATGAGTATGAAGCTGTGGAAAGGGTTCCATGTGTCACCAAAATGGTCCAGCAAGAATTTCTAATGAGAAAATTCCGGCTTTGCTGCAATGCAAAAAAAAAAACTTAATTTAAAAAATGAACTAAACTTGAAATTTTAACCATAAAATAGTGTGCAGTACATATGTTCAGCTTGATTGAAGGGTGAGAGACCTAGGGAACGTACCTGACCTTTTGCAAGCAACATCTACATAACATCTCAAAACATTGCCATCAGAGATGCCAAGTGTTGAGGGGAGGAGTGTATCCATTTTCTCCTGTTGATTGTTGTTCTGTGTTTATTATTTTACATCCTGCAGAGAGATCAATTGAAAAGTGCTCAGCAGTATTTCCAACTGGTGGGAGGCAGTGCCAGTGAATGTGATACCATCCCAGGAAGACAATGCATGGCCTCCTGTTTCTTTCTGCTGAAACAATTTGATGATGTTCTACTGTATCTGAACTCCATCAAGTCATATTTCTTCAATGACGACGTTTTCAATTTCAACTATGCACAGGTTTGTCTCAAGTCTCACCACAAATTGAATTTTAAATTATTAACAGTTTACCAGAAGTCCTGTCAAAAATTATTTGAACAATAAGTTGAAGTTTGCTTCATTGATGAATTTAAATAGTTGGTCAGATGGAAAATCTGATGGTGCTGGTCAATTTGCATGTATTTTCTGCTATTTGATAAAATAAGCTTACAACCATAAGAAAAGAAGATGAAATTGATACACTCCACAAGAAAAATGACATGAGGTACCCCAAATATGTTGACCTACATCATGGTAGCATCAGGAATAATCTGAAAACATATTCAAGATGTTTTTGAAAATTTTCCAGAATTTTTATTTTAATTTTAAAAGAAGGGTCCTCAGCTGCCAAAATTCAAGGTGCAATCACCATTAGAAATGTTCTTCAGAATTTTCCATTATAAAAATACCATGCCTTAAAAAAACTGACAATAATTTAAACCATTATCTTTATAGCAGCAGTTATTATGACAATTAATTACACCTATAGATGACAGGCTTTGCCCCAGGCTAATTTCTATACCTTCTCTTTGGTATTTTTGTGATTGAAAATCACCCAGAATTTCATGCATTTTGCTAAAACATTTTACTCAGTTGTACTGTCTAATAAATAATTGCATATAGCCCAGAAAATCTTATTTTTAAAAATTATTTTCTTTATGGAATGGAGTGGAATTGTAATTTTACATTTTCTTTAAATTTCAGCAGATAAAAATGTGCTTGTCATCACTCATCAGACAGAAATCACAATTTGCTTGAGATTTTTGATGAGAAACCCCCTTTATGAAGTAACTCTGGATTTTAATTTCAGTTTCTGAATTCACAGGCAAAAGCTGCTGCAGGCAACTACGAAGAAGCAGAGGAAGCGTTCAAACTGATACAAAGCGAGAAGCTGAAATCCGATTATGCTTATTTATCTTGGCTGACTCGCTGCTGTGAGGAAAATCATTGCAATTTTGACTGCAAAATCTGGTTGTTCCAAGGTTCTTTTTTTTCAAATCTCTGTTGTTGTTGTTGCAGATATAATGAATAAGAAGCCCAGAATGGCGTGGGAAGTTTACCTGAAGCTGGAAGCATCGCCCGAGTCATTTGCACTCCTGACTCTCATAGCAAATGACTGCTACAGACTTGGGCAGTTTTTCTACTCTGCCAAAGCTTTCGATATTCTTGACAAAATGGATCCTACACCAGAGTACTGGGAAGGTAGAAGAGGAGCATGTGTTGGCACTTTTCAGCAGGTCATTGCTGGCAAGGAAAGCAAGTAGGTATTATGCATGCAATCCTTCATCAAACTTCATCAAACAGTGTGGACAAGGGTTTTTTTTCTACATTGGTACTTTTATGTGTTGGCAATTTCTGCTCTAGCATGCCAAGAGTATAGAGCTCATCCTAAATCTCATCACCAGAATGGTCCAGCAAAAACCTTCTGAGAGGAAAATAACATATTTTTAGAAGAAGTACCACATTTTTTCAGGCATCACACTGACCTTAAAGAAATTAGGCCAAAAAGGTGCAATGCACATACAGTATTACTATTGCATACATCTTAAAATTTTGTATATGGTTGGTTCCTGTCAGACTTCAGAAACATCTAATGAAGTTTGAACAAAAATTTTTTAGATACTAGAATAATGAGTCTAAATATATCCTGTATTTAAGATCAATCAAACTAGTGGGTGAAAATATAAAAAAAAAAATGTAGCAAACTGGAATTCAAATTCTATGAGTGGAAATTTCACATTTCAGAATTTGCTCCTCAACATAAATTGATTTTTATGTCACAGAAAACTGGATTGGGAATATTATGCAGGGATTGATTGCCCATGACATTTAGAACTCTCAGGGTAGCAATCTAAGCAGTTTGTACAGAAATAGATTGCATGCTATGTAAGAAATTTTGATATTCCTCCAAACTATAATATCAGCCAGCAATATCCCATTTTCCTGGTGATTTTAAAGGTATCCACGCATTTGAAAATAAACTGTCAGACCTTGTCAACTAGTAACTCCCCATATCAAAAGCTCATTGACTCAATTTTTTCTAGTCACAATATGTATTATTATCCCTAGTTTCCCTAACCTTCTGAACTCAAACCCTCTTCAAGTTGGATTCTTTGTTGATAGCTTCACATTTTGATTGTACTTCAATTCTTCTAAAATAAGATGCTCTGCATCAAGTGGAAGGACATTCCATCATTCATTGTCCACAACATACCAGTGCAAATCTTTCTCATTTCATCAAGGCTACTGATATAAGACAATAAAAAATTTGGAAATCAGAAATATAAAAATAAAGAGCCATGCTTTACTCTATATTCACAACCTTTTGATGCTGCTGAGTGCTTTGCTGATGAGGTTTTGTTAAAAATCCACAAATAACTTTTAGTCCTGATTGGTTCCCATTGTTTTCTGTATTTCATGAAAAAAGTCAATTAGAGAACTCCAAGAAAGGTATGTGATACAATTGTGTGTACACACAAAAATTTATTTTGTATGTTTTGCTGGCAACTCACATTTGGATTACTTTTCAGGGAAATCCTCACTGAGGTCTTGCAAATGCTGCGAAGTGCAAACTGGGCTGAAGCTGAAGGCATTGCAAAACTAATTCGGAAATGGGCAAGCTCAAATGAAATCAATGTCTGACAATATGTGTGAAAACCTTGGAAATGTCTGTCTCTGTTTAGTAAAATAAAAGTTAGAGAAAATCTCAACAAGCACAATACTTATTACTGCAATAGTGCAATGTCATAATCTATGCTAGGAAATATCACTCTTGTATTTTCCTTGGGAATGCAAAACATTTATACTGTATTTAGTAACTACTTGAGCTAAGATTCTGTAGAATTTCCCCTGGAGACAAAGCAACAGAAATGAAAGCAGATTATCCTTCAGATAAGAGTTGAATCTTCTGTTGTAATCTGTGGTCTATCAACAAGATTTATATCCTGTTTCTCAGGAACACCTTCTTCCCATACATAAGTTGAAGTCATAGTGGTGTGTTTTGGTACCCACTTAGCAAGCAAGTGAGATATATACAGTCTTTATATACAAAAGAAGTTAGACCATTGTCTCCCAGCTGAGTTGAGAATGCAAGTCTAAATGACCTTGTTTTTGTGATCATCTAAAATATATGCAATTGCTGATACTGGTATGGCACTGAAGAATAATTGACAATGTTTGACATGATAATTTAGCAGCAATGTGTCATCTGTGGCAGGTATACAACAAAGGAGCTTCCAATCAATACTTTTTGGGGTGGTAGTACTTTCAATCTATAATACAAATAATTTTCTTTGGGCATTGTTCACATCCAGCACTGTAAGGACAGTGTCTACTACAATGACCACTTCCAACCAAGTGACTGAATTTGGAGGACACAGATCATTATTTTTCTAGTGATAAAAACCAAGTATTTTGAAATCAAATCAACTGGAGGATATTTAAATCCTGGACTGTCTCTTATGAAATGAATGTTGAAATTGTTGCGTGATATATCAGGAGTTAAAATTGGATCTTGTGGTGAGTGAAGAATTTTTTTATGAGAAAAGAGCCAGAGATTTTATTGAATTTTAATAATTAGATTATACCTTTTGTCACGGGTCAAACAGATGTTGCCCGCTGACACGCCATTTCACTTGGGACAACTAGATGTTGCCCCAGTTGAGATAGCAAACAGTGGTACTAAAGTACAACGTAGCGTACAAAACACCACATTGTTGTCATGTTTGAAATTAAAAACATCTTCTTCTAGAAGATCTGTTATGAACTATATTACAAACAAGAATAATAACAAGATTCCAAGGAAATCTACCAGAAGACCAGCCTTGGAGATATTGATCGCCAGGGCTTATTCAACTGTTGAATCAGCCCTGTTGATCAAAAGAATAATCAGGTATTCTGTGTGCAAAATGAATTAGTCACACATCAGTGGAAAGCCTTGAACAAACTTTCCACTAATGAGGACCTGCACCTCTTCATAACCACATCAAGAAGCAGTCAGAAGCAATCCAACCTCAACTGAGAAAGGAGCTATTTTGTGTGTGCTGAATTACTGCTGAACTTTGAACATTTGCTGAACATATAAACTGACGTCAAGGTATTTACCTCAGGCCGCAAACGGCTGATTGTGTTTATACCTTATTTTCACTTCCTCCCATAAGTGAAACTCAAATCTTTGTCAGAGAGGCTCAATAGCCCCTGACACCTTTGGAAATAATTACTTCTCAGGCTATTTCTGATAAGAGAAGAGTTTTGTGTTTCCCTAAGCCAGATAAAGTTCCTGGGCAGAAAACTGAATTTATCTTTCACTTTCAATTTAGTGTGGCATCACTTGTAGACCAACAAACATGGCATCCTGCATCTTTGGTTTCATTGCATCCTTCATACTTGTATTATGTGTGTCCTGCACTGTCAATGCAGGTAAAAAAAAAAAGAACGACATTGGTCTCAAGTCCGCGGGGATCCTTGACCGATTTTCAACCCTTCCTCATTCTCGTGCGTCCAACACTTTCCAATCAAACCCTCAACCACTGACTTTGACGAGACTGAACCAGGCGGCCTCGATTTAAGGTGCACACAAAAACCAGTCCCTGGCAAGGTCTCTTTTTTTGTGGTACCCGGAAGACCACGCTGTTCTCCCTTGTTTAGATTTTGATTTAGAAAAAACATTTGATGAGATGCGCTAAGATTAAGGAGGAACAAACAAACGATCGACTCTGCATTCTTTGTAGGACTTATTTTTTGTTGCCCTTTTCGAGAGAACCGTACAAGAAAATTCGGATTTCAGGTCGTCGTACTCATTCGTCGCACGACTGAATAACCTCGCAATGAATTTGTGCGAATACCAGACGCAAATTTCAGTCGAGACGGAAGGAACTATTCCTCCCGACGTTTTTTAATACAGTACAGTATTTCATTTTTTTAATTACGAAAGGCATGAAAATAGAAGGAGCAAGGCACTCCAAATTCCTCAAAAGTTATTTCCACTGTAAGAGCAATAAAATAATGCTTTAAAAAATATACGAAACGGTGCGGTAAAAAATTTTAAAATTCTCAATTCACCGGGTACCTCAAGAAATATTCCATCACGCGAAATACAGTACTTTTGCGAATTAAAGACGCCATTTCCACGCAAATAGGCACAGAAGAAGCAGTTCTTCCCGCGAATTTCAGAAAGAAAAAAAATCACGAAAAATTCCTGCCATGAACTAAAAAAAAAAAAGGACCATCATGAGGTGCGCAGTACCTCAATGAAAATTCCGCGCGAATATTTTCATCATCAAGAAATGCATAATGAGAACAATGGAATAAAATCAGAGTAAGCAAAATCCGCAATTAATTCCAAGAGTCCAGTCAGAAATTCAATTCATCTAATTTTCTGTGCCAAACACTAAGAAATGACCTGATCAGCAATTAAAATTCAAACCAGAGAAAAAGCAGTCCTCTAAAATTCGAGTCCAGCATGAGATATTCGGCCACACTAGAAAACCTATTTGACGTACGGAGTTCTTAATTTCTTCCCACGTTCAATTCACTTCATTTAAAAGAAAGAAAATGAACGCGAGTTTTTATTGGAAAGTGTCGACGCGACAATCTCATGCAAAATTGAAGCCTTTTTTTGTCCACGAAGAGAAATAAAGTGAGAATCAATGAACATCATAATCTCGCATCGTCATCAGCAACATTTCTGCGCTGACCGACCTTCAAAAAAAAAAAGAAAAAAGAATCAGCCATAAACTCCACAGCAACCAGCAAGAAAATGAGAGGGTCGACCATCTTTTTTCCTCACGAGAACGAAAAAGAAAACTCCAGAACCTTCCCTTTCTTTTCCTCGTCCCGTTCACCGGGCAAGAGACGAAGGAAAAGTAAAATGTCCTAGAAACCCAGCGAGTTTTCGGAACAGACCCCCCCCCCGTGTAGTTTCGTCTTTGTTACATGTTAATCCTAAATTGAGGACCACCGTCATGGCTGACGCAGCAGCAGGCGAGACGCAGAGCCAAGAGACTTTCACGGCAGAGAAGCCAAAGAGGCTCGTCAGTGGTGCGGAGGAGGATGAAGGAGGAGAATGCGAGGAGTACCCTTCCAAGTGAGACCTTTCTTTACAAGATTACTGTATAGTTTGCAAATTTGTATGATTTATTTTTTTGAATGTAGAATTATTTTCAATTTAAAAAATATTTCTTTATTCATGTTTATTCATTATTATTTACAATTTAAAATATTTATTTATTCCTTTTTATCCATAATTATTTATATGTAATATATTATAATGTAATATACTGTATTATATTGTGAAATATTGTTTTGTATACCGGTATTCATTTTTATTCATAATTACTGTATCTACAATTTAATATGTTTATTTATTCCTCTTTTATTGTTTACAATTGAAAAGATTTAATTTATTCATTAATTTTTATTTATAATTCACGATTTATCACGTTTATTTATAATTATTCACAATCCATCATATATATTTATAATCGTTTACTATTTATAATATTTATTTATAATTATTTACAATTTCTAATATTTATTTATAATTATTTACAATTTATAATGTTTATTTAAAACTATTTCCAATCTCTAATATTTATTCATAATATTGCTTTCTAGATGAGCGGTGTTCCCCAACTTGCTTTCTCCAAGTCCAAGGACTGGTAAATTAAGACGAAATAATGTTTTGCAGACCAGCAGACACTTTTTCAGACGTACAAATTCCTGGAACCACAATTTTTTCATTTGAAGATATTCAATTTTTTCATTGAATAGCTTCAATACATTTTATACAAGGCTCTCAGGAGTCTTAAAAATCACCCAAGCATGTAAGTTTTATTTGCCGCTTGTCAGCGTTCAAATTTTAAATTAATATTTATTTTTCGTTTCGTTTTCCATGAAACACAAAAGCTGAACTTTTTCCTTCGAGAGCACCAAAAGCTGTGCTCGGAAACTGAGTTCTTCTCTAAAAAATGTTTTCTAGAGCGGTGCTCCCCAACCTTCATTTTGAATATAAGCGATGGTAGCCAAAAAACAAAACAAAACAAAAATTTCAGACCAGCAGACACGTCTTTACACCGAGCAAAATTTCTGGCCAATAATTCGAAGACATACAATACGGTATATTCAATAAATATTAAAAAGGGTTCCCGGAAAATCACGCAAACATGCGGATTCAGATTGCAATTGCAAAGATGCTACGAAAATTCAAATTTCATATCATCCATCCTATGGATGATGAAGTGAGGCAATTTGAAATTAACTGGCAAACTTAAAAAAACAAGTTTCAAGATCGCTTCCACCTGAAAAATAACCTCAATAAAAAAAAAAAAAATGTCAGCCCTCCCGAGCGACAGAGGAGAAGAATTCATTAAAACCAGACATTTTGGGGGCAATGAGGGTTCCAAAAACATTCGCAACAAATGCAAATCACAATAACAACCATTCAGGTCCTTCTGAAATAGGACCAATTAAAACCAGGTTTAATTTGAGGTTAATGTGATTTTTCAACAACAAAAAACTAGTTCAAAGAGAGTTTCTGCTCGAACACTAACCTAGAGAAGTAGAATGTCTTCGGTCCTCCCGACAAATCAATTAAAACTAGCATTTTTTTTCGAGTAACGAGGGCTTTCACAAACAAGGCATCCGGATACAATATCTTCAATTTTGATGAAGCTGCTCTGATGAAAAAAAAAACTAGTATTGTGAACGAAAATCGAGGGTTATTATTTATTAAAAATAGTTTCGAAGAGCGGTTCCACTTGAATAATAACTATAAATAAGAGCAAGAAGATTTTCCAGTTTAGAACGACACGCCTGCAACTTCAAAAAAAAATTACAGGAACCAATTCTGAAGAAATTATTTTTCTGGCGGTAATTATAGTTGGACCACAAAAACTTGAACCTCCCTCAGCAAAACACCTGAGTATGTATTTTTGTTGTTGTTGTATTGGCCTGAATTCCCATGTGAAAAAAAGGTATTACGAGGGTTCTAACAGAAGTTCTTGGAATAGAAATGAAAATGGCGTACAATCGAGCTGAAAAAAAAAATTTTTTAGGGAAAAGATATTCTTTGGCACCATAAAATTGGAATTTTGCAAAACATAAAAAATTGTCAACAGAGCTGATTTTTTTTGGTAACCCACAATAATTCGGAAGAAAAGATAACCTTATACGTGGGCAACATTCATTTCAAAAATGCAATATAAAAAAAATTTTTCGGAATGCATCATGGTTAAATTATTTTATAGTACAGTACTGTGTTGCTTCTTTTCTTGCTAAGGATTATCCCTTTTGAGACCATAGCCACCCTAATCACACAATTAAGCAAACCAATTACAGAACATTGAAAATAAAAACGGTTACAATTTCCTTCTTCGATCTGACGCAGCACGAATAATTTCTATAGCCCTTCGTTTTTTTTTCTTTCTTTTCAAATTTGTGTTCGAAAGGTACGAATTGTACGTTCCACCGCCTCCACCGGATCTAACGGACCGGGAAATCAACGCTCTGAAAGACGAGGTGAAATCGGCAGCGCGACAGTGCGAAATTCTCATCGGCCGGATAATTCGCGAACGCCAACNTGTCTTCGGTCCTCCCGACAAATCAATTAAAACTAGCATTTTTTTTCGAGTAACGAGGGCTTTCACAAACAAGGCATCCGGATACAATATCTTCAATTTTGATGAAGCTGCTCTGATGAAAAAAAAAACTAGTATTGTGAACGAAAATCGAGGGTTATTATTTATTAAAAATAGTTTCGAAGAGCGGTTCCACTTGAATAATAACTATAAATAAGAGCAAGAAGATTTTCCAGTTTAGAACGACACGCCTGCAACTTCAAAAAAAAATTACAGGAACCAATTCTGAAGAAATTATTTTTCTGGCGGTAATTATAGTTGGACCACAAAAACTTGAACCTCCCTCAGCAAAACACCTGAGTATGTATTTTTGTTGTTGTTGTATTGGCCTGAATTCCCATGTGAAAAAAATGTAATACGAGGGTTCTAACAGAAGTTCTTGGAATAGAAATGAAAATGGCGTACAATCGAGCTGGAAAAAAAATCTTTAGAGAAAACATATTCTTTGGCACCATAAAATTGGAATTTTGCAAAACATAAAAAATTGTCAACAGAGCTGATTTTTTTGTTTACAAAGAATATGTTTTCCATGAAGAATAAATTTTTTCAGCTCGCTTATACGACAATTTTCATTTCTTTGGCACCATAAAATTGGAATTTTGCAAAACATAACAAAATTTTCAAACGGGGCTGATTTTTTTGTGTGACAAAGAATATTTTTTCCCCAAAGAAAAATTTTTTTTGCTCGATTATACGCCATTTTCATTTCTATCCCGAAAACTTTTGTTAGAGCCCTCGCACAGTGCAGAACATAACTCAAAAGAATTTTTCCACAGCAAACCTCAATAATTTCAATTCCCTCGAGACATTTGTGCTATCATTCTAAGAACCCAGGAAAAAATGAATAAAAACCAACAAGTTGATGTACAGTATTGCAAAAAAATAAGTTAGTAATTGGGAAAACGAACCATTGCCTTCAAGTTCAGCATCCTGTCAACTCATTTATTCCCAAGTTAAAAACCAAGAAGATCACAAATCGCAACTGTTTGCAATTCTCATTTTATTCTAGAAAGAATATACTGGTTTCCCTGACTAAAAACTAATTGTAAAACTTTTCGCTTCGCCCCCCATGAATTTTGCGGTAAAGAAACATGTCATGCATGATCTCATGCACAGTTCCTGTTTATGTGAGCCCCAGCTAATTAACAGATACGACGATCTTTCGTTGAAGCAAAACTCGTCACAGCATATTATTTTTTTCAATAAAGAATTAATTCTTTGAAGTCGCTCCAGTACAGGCACAATGTTACTCAAAGCTCAGTACAGTATAATACATTTTGCGGGTTCGAAAAGTGAAGCTTTCTTCAGGTTGCAATGACATCGTCAGGTCTAAATAACCCAAAATAAGTCGGAAGAAAAGATAACCTCAACTGTGGGCAACATTCATCACCAATATGCAATATCACCAAAAAAATTCTCGGAATGCATCATGGCTCATTTATTTTATAGTACAGTACGGTGCTGCTTCTTTTCTTGTTGAGGAGTATCCCTTTTGAGACCATAGTCACCCTAATCACACAATTAAGCAAATCAATTACAGAACATTGAAAATAAATTGGTTACAATTTCCTTCTTCCATCTGACGCAGCAGGAATAATTTCTATAGCCCTTCGTTTATTTTTCTTTCAAATTTGTCTTCGAAAAAGGTACTCCTTGTTCTTCGATCTGACGCAGCACGAATAATTTCTATAGCCCTTCACTTTTTTCTTTCTTTTCAAATTTGTGTTCGAAAGGTACGAATTGTACGTTCCACCGCCTCCACCGGATCTAACGGACCGGGAAATCAACGCTCTGAAAGACGAGGTGAAATCGGCAGCGCGACAGTGCGAAATTCTCATCGGCCGGATAATTCGCGAACGCCAACGCAAAGCGCAATACGAACTGAGGGCGCAAAACATCGGCGATTTGCAATCCGGCGGAGGTGCTGGGCGCGAAGTCCAGATCATCAACTCTGACCTACGTGAGACTTGATTGCTTTCACCCCTGAATAACCATAATAACGGAAGCATGATAAAATAAAATAGAGTGAGACCCCGAGATGTGGACGTAATTGGTGCATCAAGAGTGTCCTGATGTTGGAATGTCCCTGGGTCAAGTCTCATTTTCCCTTAGACTTCAATGCTAATGTATTCAATTGGCTCTCCTGTTTGTCAAAAATAAGAAATACGTCCTCAAAAAAGGTAATGAAAATTATTTCACTCAACTTCAAGTTGTAGAAAACAACAGTGCAGAACAACCACACATAATCTGATCTTCTGGTATCAAAAAGCAAAGAAAAAGAACAAATCTCGCCAGACAATGCACAGATGATGATAGAAAAAAAAACTCTGAAAAAGGAAGAATTAAATCAGCTTGCTTTCAATTATGCATTGGAGTTAATTTATCATGAAATATTTTTCATTTCTTCTGAATATAAATACTGCCGCTTGTTTTCTTCAAAAGATATCAAAATTATAAAAAAATAATATGTTCCGATTTTTGGGGAAAAATTCAGAGAAGTGTCTTTAAGTAGATCCAATGTCCTGATGTTGGGCCCGATATTTTGTTTTTTGTTTTCAAGCGTCCCTAAGTCAAATTATCCCTATATTGGGGTCTCACTATCAATGTATTCTTCTTCACTAAATTGGATATAGTCAGGTGGATAACTCGTAGGATAATCGTTCGTGATGCTGGGCATTTTTTGGTGTGCGAGTCTTCATTTTATTTTATTACCACGTTTTTATGAACTCACTTTCTTGTCTGTTTTGAAAACGTGGTTTTTTAGATTAATTTTTTAATCTAAAATTTAATTTTCTTTAAATTTTGCCAGCGCAAGAAAATTCCCATTGTGCAGGTTTTTTTTTGGGTTTTGCGGAAACTCCTTGCATATAAATCTTCGACAAAAAAAATAAAGATAAATTTCGTCGGATGAAAAGGGGAGCAGAAAAAGTAAAATAAAAATGAATGAATGAACAAAGAAGGGCCCGACGAAAAAACCCCGCGTGTGTGTGTGTGTGTGTGTGTGTCGCATGTCGCCTTTGCAGAATACTGGTCAAAGAAGGTGGAGGAGGCCAAGGAGTCCGTCAAGTTCATGGTGGCCAACTGGCAGCAGTTCAAAGACGACCTCAATACCTACGCGTCCCTGTTGGAACAGGCCTGGGGCGACGGCGGGCTGTTGGCCTGGACGACCGCCACCATTTGCGAGTTCATCGAGGGCAGGGACCCGCCGGGGAACCTCTTTCGCGATTTCCACTCCCACCGCGAGGAAATGAAGCACCTCCGCGCGGCCTTTTTCCGGAACCCCAAGAACCCCGAGGCGACCAACAAGGCCCTCAGGGCTGCCATGGAAATCAGTCTGGAGAAGATCCAGCGCAGCCTCATGGAGTTCAGGAAGCTCATCAACGAATGACCACCTTTTTTTTTTCTTCCTTCCCGAAATATTCCGCGTAACCCATTCCTCTTTATTCCCTTCGAGAAATTTAAACAATAAATAAAATGAAAAATATTTCTAAGCAACGAGTTATAATAACACGCGCCTTAAAAGCACCACCTCCTGAAATACAGCATTCAAATTTCTCACAAATAAGAAATTCAAAATGAATTTACAGAAGGAGGCTTGAATTGAATGAATTTTCAGGAAGCTCATCAACGAATGACCACTTTTTTATTTTTCTGTTTCTTCCTTCCCAAAAAAAGTCCCAATTTATTCCGCGTAATCCATTCCTCTTTATTCCATTCAGGAAACTTGAACAATAAATAAAATGAAAAATATTTCAAATCAACGAGTTATAACACGCGCCTTAAAAGAACCACCTCCTGAAATACAGCATTCAAATTTCTCACAAATAAGAAATTTAAAATGAATTTACAGAAGGAAGCTTGAATTGAATGAATTTTCAGGAAGCTCATCAACAAATGACCACTTTATTTTTGTTTCTTCCTTCCCAAAAAAAAGTCCCAACTTATTTCGCGTAATCCATTCCTCTTCATTCCATTCAGGAAATGTAAACAATAAATAAAATGAAAAATATTTCAAAGCAACGAGTTATAACACGCGCCTTAAAAGAACCACCTCCTGAAATACAGCATTCAAATTTCTCACAAATTAAAATTGCAACATGACTTTTCAAACAGCGGCAAAGTACACATACGATATTTATTTTTATTCATTTTTCAAAAACATCAACGAAATTCCGTGAAATGAAATTGAATGAGCAATTTGGATTGGAAGTTATTTGATGAACGAGCTGAAATAAATGAAAGTTTTTTCCAATATTCTCTTTGTAGCATAACGCAGGAATCCTTGCAAGGGGATCTTGAAATACTGCACTCTAAAATCTTGCAACTGAAAATGCAACAGCACTTTCCAAATACTATATCAGTACATACAGGGTGGGCCAAAAAAAAGGGAACCGATTTTTGACTTGAAAAAGCTTGGTAGCAAATTTGGCTGTGACAATGAAAAAAAGCCCCAAATGAAAGCTTGTTCATTTCTTTTTCAAATGGTATGTAGTTTCAAGGTCCCAAGTGCCACAGAATGGCCACAAGAACCATTTGCATGAAAACTTTCCACACAAAAAAAGTTGGCAGGCGACTTTACCACCTTGAGCTGCTGTTCTGGAGAGCTCTTATCACAAATAAATGAAATGCAGGATGCAGTAATTTAACCAGAAAACTTCATGCTGTTCTGGAGAGCCTGCACATTACCCCAAAATTCAGAAGGAGGGAGTGAGAATGGGGAAGGAAATTGGCAAGATAGGATCCTGCAGGTCTCCTACGCTGCGCACAAGTGCTGCTGGACACTGGCCTTGAGGCTCCTGACAACCAGCAGCAACTGCATGTAATTTTTTTTCTGGATGGCTTAAAATAATTTTTACATAAAATCAGTTTCAGCAATCCATTCATCCATGTGCATGCAGTGGAGCCAGAAGGCGCTTGGCCTTGTGGCTCCCTGCACAACAGGAGACCCACAGAATCCTATCTTGCCAATTTTCTTCCCCTTCTCAGACATTCCAACTTTTTCTTATTAAATTGCTTTGCTCTCTTTGAACAATAACCCACAAAATTGATAGCAGTTGTACTTCTTGCATATGCGACATCTATGAGTGAGGCAGGAGTCAACCATCCTGTGTTACTTTGCATAGATGTCACTCTTGTAAAAGGGACAATTTTTAGTCTAGACTATCAACAATTACAATTTCCTTCCATTCTTCTCAGTTTTCCTCAACAAAAATGCTTGAGAAACAACCATTTTTGTTGAGAGGAAGATATATACTGCATTGATGTTTTAGAACGTTCAAGCAGTGTAAATTAATACAGTATTACACTTAGTATGGATCAATTACTGATGATTTTAATTTTTGAAAGAATAGTTTAACAAAGTATGGGCTGAATCTTAAGTTTTCTGGAATCATGCAGTGAGGAAATAATATGTGCATTTACTTGCCTCCAATCTCCATCAATTCCCTTTGCCTGTCAAGAATTCTCATGAAGGAGCTGATGGGGAGCCAAGACCAAGAACCATGATGTGTGATGTAGAATTCATAGCTTCATGCTGGAACTACCACTTCGAAGGACGCCTGATGACGAAAATTATCTTATCGCCAGATGCGGAAATAGCCGCACGATCAGCCAAGACGTTGGGCAGTTACGTGACGGCGCTTGCTGATGGAGGTGGTTGGTGCATTTATACTCTTTCCACATTTTTTTCTATTTATTTATTGGTATATGTGGTTCGCTTTTTTTTTTTCACTTGCGGAAGCCTGACTGAAAACTGCGTCTGTGGTATCAGAGCAGTGCGCAGGAAAACGTGCCGCAGAATGATGGCGCAGGTGTCATTTCACTCATTGGTTACAGACAAACCCCGTGTTGTCACTGACGTGCCCTGTGTGATCCAAACACACATCGTCGATTAGTGCTGTTTTTGTTGTGGAATTTTATAGCGTGTACCGTGTGACATTTTCTGGAAAGCAGACGGGCGTGTAGTACATGTGACTTTTCTGGAAAGCGAACAACAGTTTTTTTTTTCAATTTGAAAAGTATTAGAAGGGTTGCCATGTCATATTTTCAGGAGAGATCAGATTCAGTTTTTCTGCTGGTGGGCATGCATCAAGATGTGAACCATCTGATTTTTCCTGGAATTATATAGTTTTAAAAAATTCTATTGGTGTGCAGAAGAAGTGGGAACCAAGTGGTTTTTTTTTGGAAACCAGATTCAGTTTTTTCTGCACGTTTCGTCGATTACTTATGGGTGCAAAATAATATGGCAGTTCCACCCTGGAATCGTTTGGTCGTTCCCACGAAAGTTGATTATATTTTATATTGTATAATTTTAACCCAAACGATACTTCCCCATGTTTTCCGTGAACCTGAATGCTGGCTTACGTTCTGCATCAAGGATGTGTTTCAATATTGTTGATCTGCTGACGTTTTACTGTGTTTATATTTAAAAGGAGGGAAAATTTGAAAAATTCGATCATCTTCTTTCTTTGTGTCCATCATCTTTAAATTTTGAAAATACTCTAGGAAAATTGCGATGCTTATGCGTGATGGTGGGGTTGTGTATTTAAATGTTTTGGAATTTTGCATACAGATTAGCATCCTGAATTAATTTTTATGTGTTCCTGAGATAAAATAAGGAAGAATGCTTCTGAAAAACGTTTGGTGACTTGGATGCGTCCGGAAAAGTTTAGTCCATTTCCTGCCCAATAATTTCCCGAAAAGGTTGCTGGTGACAGGCATTCCCAGAAGATGAAGTACTGCTTATCAACAGGCATTATTGTACATTTCTAGAGCCTTGGTACTCCATTCAGGCACTTGTTGAATTTTTATGGTTGTATTTTTCACAAATATATACTGTAGTGTATGCTGCACTTGTCAGATTTCAGACTGTCTTTGAGGGTAATTGTCTGCATGGGGCACATGTGAAATTTTGTTCCAATTATGACAAATGAAAATAATAATCCACAACACCCAAAGCTCTTCCAATGGCAGGATTTTGTTTCCTTATACATTTCCTTGACTTGATTCCATGCATGATATTGAGTATATAGGCCGCAATTTCTTTTTTTACTGTGGCCTCAAGGGCTTCCATGATGCATCAAATCCAAGTTTCCAAGGGGCATTAAATGGCTTGGATATGGGTTATAGGCTGATTGCTTTACTCTAATTCCAAATGGCTCTCAATTTACAGTTAGACCCCCATATGCAGATACCTCAACCTGTAGACAATTTGACACTAGGACACTTATTTTCCCATAAAAAATAATAAAAAAGGCCTAAGATGAGGACACTGACTCAACATAGGGACATTTAGTGATGAAATTGCAAAAAAGTTTCATGCCAATTTACAAGAAACAGATTTTTCCAACCATAAAATTGATGCAAGAAACGTTCTTGGGCATTTCTCTCACCAATTTACCATCCATTTAGCTAATTTAAAAAAATTACCTCCAGCATAGAGGGACTTCCTTCTCTCTTTTTCACTTGAATGTTATTTTTACAGAGAATGCCAACATTTCTATGTACTGTGCAGAGGTATCAGTATTCAATTCCCCAAATGTCCATATTGCGTTGAAACATATTGATTGAATCAGTTTAAATTGGGAGACAATTTTCATTTCCATGGAATTAATGGTCAGTATTTTGTCCATAAAACACCAATTAAAAATTACATAATTCAAGTCTAAGGAAAAATGATACTCAACTTAGGGACATTTTGACTTGGGGACACTCTTGAAGCACCAATTACGTCTGCATCTCGGTGTCTCACTGTACAGTATAGATAAATCTCCTATCGCGGATCCATGCCATGTGTGTGGATAGGGAAACCCCAGAGAAAAATATTTCCACTACGTAATTCCCAGTGCGCATGCGTTCGGCTCAGAAGCTGGGTGCGTCATTGGATTGAGAAACTCTCGCCTCATTACGGTTTCCCAGGAAGAAAGAGGGCAACCTGTTGCCCTTGATACACTCTGATACACCCACCGTTCCGGTCGGTTGCGCTGCTGGGGTCCACTGAGTATAGTGAATACAAATCCTTGCCTGCTGAATGCCCCAAAGGTTTCCCCACACCTGCTGAACTGGCTCCTTCCAGATAGCCTTCCCCCCAACAATTTCCTGATTTGGGATACTGTATAAAGAAAAAATATTCTGGGTACTCTGCTTGAAAAATCCTGAAGATCACCATAAATGGGACTGTTTGCCTCATGGGGGTGTAATTAGAACAGGCAAACTGTCTTTTTGTTCTACCACAAATTTCCAATCAGACAGATATAGCATGTACAGGTGGAAATTTGTTGCAACACATTTTTGAATAACCAATTCTTTTCATGAACCACAGAGGACACTGTTGCTATAATGTTATTTGAGTCTTGGGATAATGAGTGTTTTGTCATAGGGAATTATTTTTTTTCAGGTCTGAGCAGCTTTGTTGTCACAATTCTCTACCTGTCCCAGGAAATATTTAGGCATCCTGGCAACCATCCAGGATGCAAATCAGAGGTTTCAGTGATAGGCTTCCAAAGCATATCATGATATGGTCTTAATTTTAGACCATATCAGGATATGCTTTGGAAGCCTATCACTGATATGCATACCTATTGTCCATTTAGACTCTAAATGGACAATAGGCATGCATATCCAGAAGCAAATCAGATATGCTTGTGCATTTTTTGGTAGGTTTCTCTCAGCATGAGAAGCATATCAAGATTTGCTTATCATGCTGAGAAAAACCCACTCAGAAGCGTATCCTGAAACAGCTTAGCAGGTTGTTTTTTAAAATTAAAATGTTGAATAATTTTTTAGGCCTCATTCTCCAGTGTGCATCCAAGGCATTCCACCCATCCCACACACACCAGCATCACAGAAAAGTACACAACAGAGACAATTACAGCATGGAAAGCACACACACAGGCACAGAAGAAGAACACAAGAAGATAACTTCAGACTCGGAGACTCCCACAGGATTTGAACCTGGGCAACCACAATCCACAGAGCTCACCATCTTAATCACTAGGCAATGCACAACATACTGGACAACATCCTCACACTGCCCTAGTATTATAGACCAAATATTCTTGTAAAAATATGATATATTTAATGCTCAGTTCAGTTGTACATATGAAGAACTTGTCTGCCAGTTTCTGACATCTTTGTCTGGCAGACAAGTTCTCTAAAGTTGTCTGCAAATTTTGGATGATATGTGGGCAAGTTCTCCAAAAAATGTCCAAAAATTATCCAAATGAGTTCCAAAAATGTCCATGGAACTCATTTGGATGGTTTTTGGAGAACTTCTGCCTCACTGGGAGGTGGCTTTGATCTTCTAGGTTATTTATAACCTTCTTACATATTTTGGGAAATCTGAACATGTCCCACCCTTTGTTTCCATTTCCAAGCAAGCATGTCATGGAAAAAATGGCTTTGCATTGATTCATGACGGTTGGTATTAAAATAGTCTTTGAAAATATGTTGTTTTTAAGGAGTGGATTAAAAATAATTGACTCATTCTGAAAATATTACAANTTGGGGACACTCTTGAAGCACCAATTACGTCTGCATCTCGGTGTCTCACTGTATAGATAAATCTCCTATCGCGGATCCATGCCATCTGTGTGGATAGGGAAACCCCAGAGAAAAATATTTCCACTACGTAATTCCCAGTGCGCATGCGTTCGGCTCAGAAGCTGGGTGCGTCATTGGATTGAGAAACTCTCGCCTCATTACGGTTTCCCAGGAAGAAAGAGGGCAACCTGTTGCCCTTGATACACTCTGATACACCCACCGTTCCGGTCCGTTGCGCTGCTGGGGTCCATTGAGTGTAGTGAATACAAATCCTTGCCTGCTGAATGCCCCAAACGTTTCCCCACACCTGCTGAACTGGCTCCTTCCAGATAGAGTCCCACAAAATTTCCTCATTTGGGACATTGCATAAAAAAAATATGCTGGGTACTCTGCTTGAAAAATACTGAAGACCACCATAAATGGGACTGTTTGACTCATGGGGGTGTAATTAGAACAGGCAAACTGTCTTTTTGATCTACCACAAATTTCCAATCAGACAGATATAGCATGTACAGGTGGAAATTTGTTGCAACACATTTTTGAATAACCAATTCTTTTCATGAACCACGGAGGACACTGTTGCTATAATGTTATTTGAGTCTTGGGATAATGAGTGTTTTGTCATAGGGAATTATTTTTTTCAGGTCTGAGCAGCTTTGTTGTCACAATTCTCTACCTGTCCCAGGAAATATTTAGGCATCCTGGCAACCATCCAGGATACAAATCAGAGGTTTCAGTGATAGGCTTCCAAAGCATATCATGATATGGTCTTAATTTTAGACCATATCAGGATATGCTTTGGAAGCCTATCACTGATATGCATACCTTTTGTCCATTTAGACTCTAAATGGAGAATAGGTATGCATATCCAGAAGCAAATCAGATATGCTTCTGCATTTTTTGGTAGGTTTCTCTCAGCATGAGGAGCATATCAAGATTTGCTTATCATGCTGAGAAAAACCCACTCAGAAGGGTATCCTCATCCAGTTTAGCAGGTTTTTTTTAAATTAAAATGTTCATTAATTAATTTTTCGGCCTCCTTCTCCAGTGTACATCCAAGGCATTCCACCCATCCCACACACACCAGCATCACAGAAAAGTACACAACAGAGACAATTACAGCATGGAAAGCACACCCACAGGCACAGAAGAACACAAGGAGATTTTTTCCAGAATCCCACAGGATTTGAACCTGGGCACCCACAATCCAAAGCTCACCATCTTAATCACTAGGCTATGCACAACATATTGGATATTCCTCACACTGCCCTATAGTATTATAGACCAAATATTCTTGTAAAAATATGATATATTTAATGCTCAGTTCAGTTGTACATATGAAGAACTTGTCTGCCAGTTTCTGACATCTTTGTCTGGCAGACAAGTTCTCTAAAGTTGTCTGCGAATTTTGGATGATATGTGGCAAATTCTCACATCATAAAAAATTTCCAAAAATTATCCAAATGAGTTCCAAAAATGTCCATGGAACTCATTTGAATGATTTTTAGAGAACTTCTGCCTCACTGGGAGGTGGCTTTGATCTTCTAGGTTATTTATAACCTTCTTACATATTTTGGGAAATCTGAACATGTCCCACCCTTTGTTTCCATTTCCAAGCAAGCATGTCATGGAAAAAATGGTTTTGCATTGATTCATGACGGTTGGTATTAAAATAGTCTTTGAAAATATGTTGTTTTTAAGGAGTAGATTGAAAATAATTGACTCATTCTGAAAATATTACAAGCTGTAAAAAATTTGAGTGTCACTTCCAACATTAAAATTGACTTCTCTGTCAATACTGATCAAAGCTCTTCAATTTGTTAAAATTTAAAGCTGGCTAATTTGTTTTTAAATTAAATTCATTATAGGAGTACAAAGCAAATGGGAAGAGTGCATTGTTAATTTTTATCATAACCTAGTCTACATTAGCTGTTGACATGTGGAACCCATATTGAACTTTGGATGATTGAAATTTTGTCTGTGATTCTCAGTTCCATGAAACTATACCTCTCAATTCATATACTGCACAATACTGGCAGTAGATCTAGTTTTGCCACTGTGAATTTTCAAGATTCCTTGGAAACTGGAGAATTCTTTGAGCCTTCAAGATTTTTGTTATCAGGGATCCAGAAATGAAACAACCAACCTTTTTCTGAATTCCACAGTCATGGATTCTTCTTGTCAGATATAGATATTTTGTATGATGGCATGTTGCTTTGTCATACTCCAGGAAATCTTGCAGAATTTAGATCACCTCCCATGTTCTGCCTCATTTACAGATAAAGATAACACCACAGGGGAGTGAATTTGTGTTCTCATTATTCTGCCTAGTCATTATAGCTAGAGGTGATGTAGTGACATTTCCCCCAAGTTGCTGACAAAAATGAGAGGTAAATCTAATATTAAACCAGTGTTAAACTTATAGGCCTTGCCATTAAGGTTCAATCAGTGATTTCCTATTCAATGCTGGTTTATGTTCAGAGAAAGGTTCACCACCAAGAGCTAACAATTTTTTCAGAGTGTGTCTTTCTTTGGTGTGAATTATTGCTGTTGCAGTATCACAATAATTTGGTGGAATAACGTAATTTGTTGTTTGATATTAGTGTGCAAGAATTTAAGTAATCTGTCTCTTTTCAATAATCAGATGTTTATTCTAAGAGGCGCTTGTCCAGGAATCTCAATTCCCTTGAAGCAATATACAGTATTGTGTATCACAGAATTAAATGTGAAAATATCAGTAATATATTTATTCCTATAGAAGATAATGCAGGCTGTCTTTACAGAAAAAGCGCACAAATCTTGAGTTTTTGACTAAAACTTTTTACAGGGTGGTGGGTAAATGAAACAGATGATCAAACTTGGGGTATACATACAAATTATTAAAATATAAATACAGCATACTGTGGAATCTAGCAGTGAAGCATTTGGGACCTCAAAAAAGCATCCTTATGAATAAAATTGTTATGACCAAATTAAATTAATGTGCCTGTTTGGCCATTTGACAGAAAAAATAATGATGGAAGACAAAAATCATTTCATCATTGCTTTTCAAAGTATTCATAACACTTAAATTCATAACCAAATTTCCCAATTCACATGAAAAATTTTCTAAAACAGGTCTTCACAAATTTAAAAAAGTATATTAAATTAAGGTGTCTTATTTTTAAAGATGCGCAGAAGCCAAGAAACATGTGTTTCATTGATGTTTCTAAAAGCCAGGAAATTTGAATTTTGCTCGTAAAAATGACTTAATAATGATTTTGTTTTGGACTGAATCTTCTGAAACAAATTTTAAAAAATGTTGGCTTTGTGCATCCCTTTGGAAAGCCAATTCATGGATGATCTCAGCAAAAATGCAAGGAAAGTGATGAGCCCTGGGGTAGATTATCTGATCCCTAGAATGAAACCAACAAATTCATTCTCTCTGAATACAATTGAAGCGTTCAAATTCACACATCAAAAGCTTTCATGAAATTTATTCACATTAGCTAAATCCGTATGTCCTGTGTTTCCCAGACTTTTTCTTGTCTCATCTTCATACTTGTCGCAGGTTGACTAGATGTCGCCCGCAGCGCAGGAACAGGAGAGGCACAGAAAGTACAACGCAGCGTAGGAAACGCCACGTCATACACAAAAACAAATATCTCGAAAATTCCAAACAATTCAAGATAACAACAGAAATATCTTTTATTAAAACATTATGAAACCTGAAGATATTGATCTTTAGGAAAAACATTCCACCAAGTGAATCATCACTTGATGAAAGGAATTATGAAGAATTTTACAAACAGAAAATTAGTCACACCCCAGTGAAAACCTTGGAGAAGCTTTCCACTGGGGAGGACCAGGACCTTGTGTATCACAGAATTAAATGTGAAAATATCAGTAATATATTTATTCCTATAGAAGATAATGCAGGCTGTCTTTACAGAAAAAGCGCACAAATCTTGAGTTTTTGACTAAAACTTTTTACAGGGTGGGTAAATGAAACAGATGATCAAACTTGGGGTATACATACAAATTATTAAAATATAAATTCAGCATACTGTGGAATCTAACAGTGAAGCATTTGGGACCTCAAAAAAGCATCCTTATGAATAAAATTGTTATGACCAAATTAAATTAATGTGCCTGTTCGGCCATTTGACAGAAAAAATAATGATGGAAGACAAAAATCATTTCATCATTGCTTTTCAAAGTATAAGTATTCATAACACTTAAATTCATAAAGTCAACCAAATTTCCCAATTCACATGAAAAATTTTCTAAAACAGGTCTTCAAAAATTAAAAAAAGTATTTTAATTAAGGTGTCTTATTTTTAAAGATGCGCAGAAGCCATCAAGAAACATGTGTTTTATTTATGTTTCTAAAAGCCAGGAAATTTGAATTTTGCTTGTAAAAATGACTTAATAATGATTTTGTTTTGGACTGAATCTTCTGAAACAAATTTTTAAAAATGTTGGCTTTGTGCATCCCTTTGGAAAGCCAATTCATGGATGATCTCAGCAAAAATGCAAGGAAAGTGATGAGCCCTGGGGTAGATTATCTGATCCCTAGAATCAACCAAGAAAATTCATTATCTCTGAATACTGAAATTGAAGGCTTTCATGAAATTTATTCACATTAGATAAATCCCTATGTCCTGCGTTTCCCAGACTTTTTCTTGTCTCATCTTCACACTTACAGGTACAATTTTGTTTTTTTTTTACCCAGCAAACATTTTTGACAAATTGACATAATTTCATGTATTAAACGTGGTTCATGCACTTCCCATCAGTGTCACACAAAAAACGGTGTTATCCTAAATTCATTTACACACTACGATGCAGTATTACCCGCTGCAGAAATATATTATTCTCACTGCTGCAGTGGACTTTTTTTTAATTTTAAAAATCTGAAATGAAGTTTCAACTTCCAAATTCTGTTCCGTTATTCGTTTTACAACCCTCCAATTCCTAGATGGTTCTTCTTTGAACCTGGATGCATGTACGGTAGTCAAAAATCGAGAAAGCCTAACACACAGGAAACTTTAAGGAAAAGGCACTTCACCCTGAAATAATGGAGGTACCCGGTTCGATCCCACCCCTAGGCACATTTTTTTTTAGAAATCGTTTCCTATTTCCATTTATAACTTTTTCAATTTTTGACTTCTTTCAATAAAAAAAATTCCAAATTTTCAGAATTTCACCGAGCATACAATGAAAATTTGAAAATTGAAAGTGCTTCCATAGGGGAGGTGTGACTGCGGGCCACACACCTGGGCATGCTCTCTTCTATGTGTGATCTGATCAAAATGTTGGCAACTAAAATGTGTCCAGGTGTGGCTGGGCACCCTCCCCTAGTAATGAAATAAAGTAATTCATTAACATTTCCTTGGTGAGGCGTGTGAAAAACGCGGAATGAAAACACCCGTGTCCATCTTTCAACAGCGTAGGATTGAATCAATTTTTTAAAAATATCCGCGACCAGCTAATTAGGTACAACTTTCAACGGCCTCAAACTTCTGCAACCAGCTCTGCCAATTTCCTTCGTTCAAAAAAAAAAAAAAAAAAACTCAGTAGCCGTGGCTGTCGACGTGTGGCACATATAAGTGCAGTGAGAAAAACGACATGGTGGAAAATCGCGGGAAATCGCAGGGCAGTGATGACAACAGCAACAATAACGCATCTGAACATCCCAGAATTATGATCCCCAGGCCAGTGGTAGACGGGATCGGGCCTCGGTCAAGCAAAATGACAAACACAGGGGCATTCATCAACCCTGCTTTCCAGCCAGACACTCAGGTGAGATTTTGCCAAAAAAATAATAATATGTAAATATGTTCCGCTCCAAAACTAACTTGAGAAAAGATATGTGATGGTAATCTGATGCTCACACCATTTTGTTCTCCATCTCAGAGGAACTTCCGGGCCGATACTTTTTTAATGGTATATGATTCTATCCGGCTGATATTGAAAAAGCCAAATCGACGCCAAAAGCGCCATTTCTTTTGGATTTAGAGCTTTTCCTTGTTATTGTCCTTCCTCAGTGTCATATCCGAAGTCATTCTGGGAAGCGATTCTGATTTCTTGGCTTCATGTCGCAGAACTTTCCGTGGCGTATTACAGCTATTCTCATGTGCCCGCATTCATTCTGTGTCACTTTCTCACATACCCTGACCATAAAACCTGAATTTTTATAATGGTTCACAATTGTGTACATCCTTGCATCATCCATCAAAAACCTGCCTCTTTATTACTTTACCCGCTCAAAGAAATTTTGGCTGTTGAAAAGGCAAAATACCTCCAGATGATTTTCCAAGTCATTAAATAAGTGTGTCTTTTTTCACTTGTTCCAGACATGGAACCTTATGGGATTCCGAATCAAAGGCCCTCTATTAAATTTACTTCAGTATAAGTTAGTTTTAGCTGTTGATTAGGTGAGCCTTTGGTTAATTTTTTCACTTCTTAATTTATCATATATAGAAAAATAGTTTTCCATAAAATTTTTTTATTTGATCCTGATTCCGAACAAGACTCTGTGCTTGTGTGTGGGTGTGATATACTGTACAGTATTGTACTGTGTGGTATGAGGATCCTATAGCTAAAGTGCGCATTGGCCAATTGCGTGGATTCCTCTGATATACTTTCTTAATCAAGATCCCTCCAAGTTTCACTGCAAAATCAAATTATTCCTGAAATAGCCGCGTGGCCTTGTCCATGCATGCCAGGGTTCTATCAAAAGTTCTTGGAATAGAAATGTAAATGGCATACAATTGAGCTGAAAAAAATTATTCTTTAGGAAAAACATATCATTTGGCACACAGAAAAAAATCAGCCCTGTTTCACAATTTTTTTTAATGTTTTGCAAAATTCACCCTGGCAGAATTTTGCTCTCCACTCATAAGATGAGGCGCCCTTCCTGCAGATTTATTTTTGTTGTAGCCCAGCTTTCCCCTCAGAATTCTTGAAATCAGCATGGCATTAATTTCAAGGGTTGCCTCCAGGTCTTCCAAAGTAATTCCGCCATTTTCATCAACAGCCGCCAAAGTGGCGGCTGTGAAGGCGGCTGTTGATGAAAATGGCGGAATTGCCTTGGATGACCTGGAGGCAACCCTTGGAAAGAATGCAAGTTGATTTAAAAATTTCTGAGGGGAAAGCTGGGCTACAACAAAAATAAATCTGCAGGAATGGCCCCTCATCTTTTGAGTGGAGAGCAAAAATCTGCCAAAGTGAATTTTTCAAAACATTAAAAAAAATTGTGAAACAGGGCTGCTTTTTTCTGTGTGCCAAATAATATGTTTTTCCTAAAGAATAAATTTTTTTCAGCTGAATTGTATGCCATTTTCATTTCTTTTCTGAGAACTTTTATTAGAACCCTCATATGGAGAGGCTCAAGAGCAACAGCACTCCTGAAATAGCCCTGACATATACTTTCTTTGCAGTTCACAGAAGGGAATGAGGCACAAATGACCAACAGATCACGTTCAACATGCCCACCAACACAAAAAATCAGCCCTGTTTCAGAACTTTTAAAGTATTTTGCAAAATTGACCCTGGCAGATTTTTGCTCTCCACTCAAAAGATGAGGGGCCCTTCCTGCAGATTTTTTGTAGTAGCCCAGATCTTCCCATAGAATTCTTGAAATCAAGGTGGCATTAATTGCAAGGGTTGTTTCCAGATCTTCCAAGATAATTTTCATCAACAGCCGCCACTTAGCAAAATCTACATGAAGGGCGCCTCATCTTTTGAGTGGAGAGCAAAACTCTGCCAGGGTCAATTTTGCCGAACATTCAAAAAATTTGTCAAATAGGGCTGATTTTTTGTGTGCCAAAGAATATGTTTTCCCTAAAGAATAAATTTTTTTCAGCTGAATTGTATGCCATTTTCATTTCTTTTCTGTCAAGTTTTGCTAGAACCCTCATACGGAGAGGCTCAAGAGCAACAGCACTTTTGAAATAGCCCTGAAATATATGGTACTTTCCTGTTATCTCAGTACCTACTTTCCGTGCACCTACCAAAAACTGTGAATTTTATTTTTCATGTGAAACTGATTTTGGGAGGCGGTTAGGTAAAGTTAGATTAGGTCAGGTTATGTTAGTTACATATAGCTTTTAATTAACATAACCTGACCTAACCTTACTTCACCTAACCACCTCACAAAATCAGATTGTACTTTGTGCACCAAACTCAACAATTACATAAAATAAGGCACAGAAAGTAGGTACTGAGATAACAGGAAAGTACCAAAAATATAAATACAGCCAAATGTAACATTGAATTCAATATTTATGTCATTTTCTCATGTGAAAAATGTAATCATGGAAGAAGCTAACTCAATCTAAATGGGGAAAAAGTATTGAAGTTAGACACATTTTACTTGAAAATTTGTACATGACAATGATACAAACCTTATTTTTGCCACTCTTTATTTTTAAAGGTGTTTGTGGTACTTGCATAAATATGGCATTTTCAAAAATTACTGTATTCACTCAAGTACCATGTGCCCACAAGTAAGACAAACATCTGGGTTTCTCAGTCTTAAAATTTTGATGAAACTGTATCCCCAAAAAGACATGCACCCCGTTCTAATAACTATAAAACCACAATATTAAAAAAAACATAAACCTTTACATTTCAATTTAGACATGAATTGGACCTGAATTCAAATTATTTTTCTACTATTTCACAAAAATAAGTTTTTATGTTAAACTTGACCCAAAATTTTCCGTTCGAATCAATTATAATGCATAACTAAAAGTAATCTAAAACTTGTTGAAAAATGTGCATGCCTGCCTATAACACACACCTCCTTTTTCTCTCATACTCAAAAAATGCGTGTGTGTTTGGTACTTGATTAAATAAAGTAATGAAAAAATCCATTCAAAATCAGCATCCCACATCCAAAACCCAGCTTTGATCAAATAAATTATGAAATTTAGTGAAACTACGTGTTGCCAAAGTCAGATTTGCAAATAATGTAGAGTAAAATACATCGAAAAATCCTCAGGATATGCAATCCAAGCTTGATTCGAAAATGTTCCATCATTCAAAGATCCCACTTCATATTCAAAGAATCCCAACTATGAGAAAAAAGTGACTGACGAAACATTCAAACGATCCCTTGCTCGCACATTAAATGAGAAAAACAACAACAACAAAGAACAAAAAGAAATAACAACCTGGAAGATGAAAGTACCACCACCACCCCCACCACCGGCACCATCACTAGAAGTCTCATTTATACCCTGCTTCCTGAGCACCATCATCAACTGCCTCCGGGCATTCACATCTGGCCCATCCAGGCCCTCCTGTCCCACCAAGATGTGCAGCGGCTGGTCCGCCACCAAATACACCACAGTCGTCACGACGGCGCCTCTGCTTTTCGGGTGAACCAGGTTCCCAGAACCCAGGCCTCCACTGGCCCCCTTGGCTATTATAGTATAATAACCCGTGTGCGGGGTTTTCCATAGTTGAATGCCCGAAAAGTTGCCCTGGTTCAGACTGACTCGGGTCCAGGTGCCAGCGTAACTCATGGCACAGCTTTCCTGGTTCGGTCCGAGCCGACCGTTGGCACCACATGTCGAGAATCTGAATTCTGCAGCACGGAAGAACAAAAAATTATGCGTCACGAAAAAAAAATCATTCAGAAAAGAAACTGGACATTATTTACCTAACGCAGTTTCCGGAGAATCCATATGCGCTGCTCGCAGGAAACAAGAGAAAAAAACACGAAAAAAGTTAGCATTAAAATTCAATTTTAAATCAATTGTTTGGCCCCGAGATGCGGACAAAATTCGTGCTTGATTCAAATCAATGGGAAGACATTTACTCGGTTCTTCTTGTGATCAAAAATTACGAAGAAGTCGATTTTTCTCAACTTCAAGATACGAAATATAAATGTGCGAATAAAATATGATCTTTTGGCAGAAAAAGAAGACCCCAAAAAGCAAAGCTTTTCCTACACTCTTCCCAGAAAATGGAAAAAACTCTGAAAAAGAAGTATAAAATTACTGTTGACTGCTTTGGATGATGAATTTCTAAAAAAAACTTCCTTATAATTTTCGCGAATATAGAAAAACTCAATTTCTTCAAGAGATGTCAAAATTTGGAAAAATTTTCCATAAATGTCGGTAAATTATCCAAATCTCGAGACACTGTCCAGACGTTGGCGCAGCTTTTCTGAGTTTCAATCGTCCGCACGTCGCGGCCCCAATGCACAAATTTTACAATCACTCACATTGCGGCCAAGTTCTAGTCTCATTCTCAGGCACACCTGAAAAAAAAAGAAAAAAATTACATGAATAAAGCATAAATTACCACGTTTCGTAAATTTTAATCGTGAACGAAGAAACTGAACACTTACCAACTCCGAAGCACTCAGGACTCAGAGAAATATCATCAACTGCCAAAATGGAATTATGACGCAGTCCTCGTTGAGCCAGAAATTCTAAATGATACCTAAAAAAAAAAAACGCACACAAAATGCTCAAACATTTTTCACCCGTTAAGAAATAAAATTGAAGCTCTCAAAATATTCCAATTTACGTATTGAAATTAACGAGGTACTAAAACACAACAACTCACTTCTTCCGGAGAGTGACCGGAAGCGGAAAAGTGGCCCTGAGCCACCTGTCCTTGGTTTCCTGTTGATGGGACCAGACTTCGAGCGACTTGTTCTGGCCCTCGGATGTCACGTGTAGACTCAGAGCTCCAACGTTTTGCCCAGCGAGAAAGTAATAAAATCTCACCTAGAAAATCATACAAAAAAGTTTTTTCATCAATAAAAAAATTGAAAAGCTACATTAAAAAAAAGAAGAAAATGCTCACCTTGCAGGACTCAAAGTATGACGAGGTGTTCAGGGCATGGTAATAAGGTACAGGTCGGAATGTATCTGACCAGACAATCGACTTCGCACCAAATTTCCCATCAGAGGGTTCATCATAGATCAAACAATGCCCTATTGAAAAATAAAATATACATTTTACAAAGATGAAAGAAAAACAATACTTTATTGTCAATTATTCGTCTGTCATTCACTCAATTTTCATCAAATAAACCTTTTTGAAGCCAATAAAATAACCCTCAACATATAGTAATTAATCTAATCTTAAGAAGTCATCAGTAACATTACAAAACCAACTTCCCCAGCAAAACTTTATTCAGTCTGGGTATTCCTAACATCTTGGTTGTGGGTAGAAAAAAAGGGTTTTCATACATTTAGTGTTTTAAAAGAAGTCACAAATAATACATTTCTTGCATCATGGTTTTGAGCTTTGAAGTAGCAACAGAGTAGCAACATCATGTGTGAAACAACATTTGACAACATATTTTGAATGATCATCTACATTTCGACCATCCAGGTTTACTTTTACTGTCTGCATGAGTAATAATAAAAAGGTGAGCCAACACTCTTTTGTTATTTAATGCTGATCTATGCCTTGCTTTGAATAGTGCTTGCATGGGAAATACATTTAACACCAGCTTATGTTTTGTGAGAGGAGTCTGCTCCTTTTGATAATACCCTTCTAATGAAGAAAAAAATCTCATTTTCAAATTTGTATTAAGAGACATTAAAACAAGAGAGATTTCAGAGGTGGAAAAATATTATATTCCACAAATAACTTGAAAAATTGACTTACAGGATAATGATGTAAAATACAGTTGAATCTCAGTGTCTAAAATTCATCAAATAAAAAAACTCCCTTGGCCAAATATTTTTCAAGTCACTGTCTGAAATCCCTAGAAAACAATGCATTGAAAACCTCCCATACCCAAGGGCTTTTTCCCTTCAAAACTCCATAATACACATTTTCTGGGGGGAGGGGTGTCTTTTGGCATTTATTTTATGGAAACAGGAAACAGAAAAACAATAAAAATGTAACTTGATGTATTTTTAAAGGAAATGAAAGACTAATTGGGCAAATGAAACCATGCCTCCAAGTTCAGCATCTTGTCAACTCATTCAAGAAGCAATTCAATGCCAAGAATATCAACAATTACAATTTCCTGCAATTCTTCTTGCCTTCCCCCAACAAAAAAATGCCTCTTTCCCTACTTCAAAACTCTTCCAACTCAAAATTTTCCTCTCATCTCTTGAAGTTCGACTCAAATAGTGTCAAATATGCTTACAAAAGCAATTAACAGATGAAAAGGCATTACCTGACTCGTTTTGGAAAGTGTGATCGTACAACGGCATTTTCCTGGCAGCCAAGTAATGCCCAGTCTGCTTCAACGCCCAAACCCCCATCGCATTCGTCTGGTTCCGCCACCCACAGAGACCAGTTTCAAAGTCACACCTCGTGTTCTCAGGCATTCCATCTTCGAAACAAGACAACAACAATATTGAATTTTAAAAAATACCTCAAAATTTCTTCAAACAAAACACCGAAAATTAATATTTTTAAATAATAACGCACCACATCCTTCTCTTTCATCCTCTCCGTTAGGACAGTCTTTCACCAAATCACACACATGATCGCTGGAAATGCATCTTCCGTTTTCACACACGAAATCCCGCGGAGGAACGCACTTTTTCTGCGGTGCATCATCTACGCAAAAAAAAATTAATTATAAATACACAACACGAAATAAAATAAAAAGGAATATTAAGGAATTCAACGTTTCTCAACGAAAAAATGACTCACCTGAGCAGTGCTCGAAGCGAATATTGTCCACGGCAACGTGATTGACCTGTTTCATCTTGTTTTGTGGCGGCATCGACACTTCCAATAAGATCCTAAAGGGCTGTCTGTGATGACTGATCTGGGTACTCATTGTGCTCCATCTTGTTACATAAAAAAACAAAGAAAAAAAAGTCATCTTCCACGAATAAAAATTCCATAAAAATGTCGATCATTTCTTCTACAGTCAACCCTCGATTCAATGCCACTAAAATTCTCTGTCCTTGATCAAAAATTCGCCATCACGGATATTATAACGCCTCTTCCTAGGAATATCATCGAGTTATTGCTGAGAATCACACGCCGATGCTCATGGAAAGACTCACGATAATTTCGAACATGCGATTTCTGAATTTACATTTTTCGTTGCGGCACGGAACCTTCCTTCAATGAAAATTTTACAAATACAGCGCGAGCTTTCATCAAAGTATTGGTGATTCCTGCATGAAGACACCTGGTAAAAAAAATCAAACAAAACTTCAACAGCTCTCCTCTTTTCCTAGACACAATATGCGTAAAAATATAATACTGTACTGTACATTCCGCCGCCTTCAAAATATTGAAATACAGCACAAAAACAGTGCATTTCAGCGTAAATGTTATTCCTCGTGGCTTTCTCTCTCATAAAACAGAAATCAGTGGCAAAATAATTCTGTAAACAAGCTTATTTTGCCTGCTGCGGAAACCATCAATTGAGCCAACCTTTCATACAACACCCTCATTTTCGTGCCAGGAAAAATGGCGACATTGAATCGAGGTTGAACTAGTTCAACAAATCACTCATCACTGATCAAAATTACGCGGGTAGATACAGAAAACTCCTACGATCCCCCCCCCCCCCCCCCCCCCCCTAAAAAATACCCGGGGAAAAAAAAAAAACCCCCCCCCCCCCCCCCCCCCCCCCCCCCCAAAAAAAACCAGCCTTCCACCAAATTTATTTTTTATCACAGAATTTCAAAAATAAATCCTCGCAACGAACTTGTTGACGGAAGTCTGCCCGAGTTTGTTGTGCAGGCCAAAATCAATCACTGTCTTCTGTTCGCTGTCCTGCACCACGACTCTGATGGGAGATTCGTCCCAGGAACAATGCACAGACATGGACAAGGTGCACCAGGTGCCCGTGTAATTCAACAACGGGCTTTTCAACGACAAAGTCAGGTTCGGATCTGCTCTTTTCCCGTCTTCCGGTTGGAAGATCGCCAGCAGAAACTTGCCTGAAGGAGAATGAATGGTAAAAGCGTAATGAAATTCACAACACCTCAAATTTTGCTGCCGATCCCACGAGATTCGACTTAATCACACAATCACACGAGGAAATGGGAAGGAACCAACCTTCAGAAGAGCCCGCATGGTCTAAAAACGGAGCACCGACGTCTTTGGCGAACCAACGATGCTTTTTGAGCAGGTCTTTGAGCCCGGCTCCATTGATGCTGAGGAACCGATCGGCGGGTTCTGCGATCCACGTGCAATTGGCTTCAAAGTCACAGTCGAGTCCGAGGCGGCCGTTGTTGTGAGGGTCGCCTGTGGCAGTCAGGACGACGCCCAACGCGAATGCCGCCACTAGCACACCGAGCAGCGGCGCCATGCGAGTCGATTTCAAGCGGCGAAGGCCATCAGGTCTTTCATTCTCCGCTTTTTCGCCCTCTTTCACGCGAGGAACTTCACATGGCACTGATAGAAACACAAATACGAGGAAGACTTGATAAATCCGAAGACACGAACAAATATCCAAACTCACACACGACCAAAATTTCAAGAGTTCACTCCAGAACTCTTGGGAAACGGAGGAAACAGAACCTGTACGCAAATTTCACCGAACCAAACTCGAACAGTCACACGTCAAAAATCACTCAAGTCAGAAATTCAACGGGGAAATTAAATTGAACTGAATGAATCCTTCCAAAAGAAACTCAGACCGAAACCGTAAATCAAATTAATACATACGCACGCTCGCATATTCCCCTTCGCCAGTTCCCAAATCCACGGCACACAAGGCACACACAATACTATACGTGTGCCAGTAAACAGACTGACAAGTGACGTCACTTCCGATGGGACACAGTTGAAACTCACTGCTACTAACGGGGAAACGAGCCAACACCTTCGTGCGTAGCTCGATGGAGCTTCGTGCTCCATCTTTTTGCTTTATTCAGGAAGGACAAGGAGATATTCTTACCACTGACACCATATGATCCGGGTTATTTTTGGGCTCAGTACGTGGGAATAGGTTGAGAGAGATATTTGAGAAAAATGGAACGATCAAAATCATTTCTTCGTCGTGAGAAGGATCTAAATTCACGTCGAACGCACATGCCTCGGAACTTCGCGAATTACAGATGTAGAGATAATCTTCCGAGAACATTTTCCCTTACTTCCAATACCTAATCCGAATTGTGGTTAACAGTGCTCCTGAACGAGGAGAAATGTAAAAGAAGTGATTCGGACGCTCAAAAATACAAATTCTAATGGGTAAGAACTCCTAAAATTCGTAACCAATGCCTGAAAGAACTTTCTCGTACCACAAGCTTGCATGGAAAACCGAGGTACAATCGACGTTGTGTCTTTTCGCACATGTTTCGGGATAATTGACGTGTTCCGACACAAGTAATTACAGCAGGTGTTATCGCGAAATGAGCTACAGAGGAAGACACCTGTTTTCACAGCAAGAACCCTTATGCACAATCACATGATTTTTTTTTCTATACACCGATTCCGCGTTCCACTTCATGCAGTAGAATGGATAAATAGCATCGTCCAATTTCGCGCATCTTTCTCGTGACGAAACAGGATTCATGAAAAAACGCGGTAATCGCCAAGATACTCCTCCCGTAAAAGTTTAAAATTTCGCACCTGATTCGATGGTAGCTACATAAAATAAAATTTTTCTAACCAGCAAATTCTTAATTTCGAAACCACCGGAGTTTCAAGTACTTCGTAAGGAGACCCTAGATGTACTGAGGATCGTACGCATAAGGCCGAAGTTCAAGGCCCTGGCATTGATGTCACTGGGCGTCAACCGCTTTTTGACGAGACCCCTTGGGAAGCCACAAAACAATAGAGCACCATCACCGTACCACAGAGCTTCAGCTGCCTTGGATGTATTCAGTGCTGAATTTTCATGTTCCGTAAGTTCTATGAATGTTTTTGCATACATTTCGCTCAATAACTATGTAATTCAAGATATTGATAATACTCTTCAGAATTCTGCGGCGAGGTTAATGAACTCCAGAGCCAGATCTGATCAGGTCCTTCTTACCACATGCATTTTACCTTTTAATCCTCGCGTTTTGTCCGAAGCGTTTTGTTCCCGCACCGTCCAGATTGCGCATGGAATCTGTGGGTAACCTCCTCCGTAGCTTCTCAGAACATAATGCGACGCACTTGATCCTAAAAACATCTGAACCGTGAACTTTTCCAAGCGACAAACTAGTAGTATTCCATACCGAGAACAGCTTAAGAGATCATTCCTAACCAGGCGTAAACATTTAAAAGGCATTTATTCCGGCATTTGGGAGCATCAGTTCATCATCTTGACTTAGAGCCATTTCAGAAGGGCAGATTCGCAATCTGGATGTGCGGGGGGGGGGGGGGGGAAGAATATTGTGCCCTTCAATAATACAGTACATTGTATTTTGTGCAGAACCAAGAACTGAAGATGTATTCAACCTGTTGGTTTTCTGTGGCACACAAATAACCCTATTTCAGGAAATTAAGGCTAAAATTTAATATTTAGACTAATACAATTTTGAATCCAGTCAACTGATCACCATCATATCAGCTTACAGCATAAGCAATATATAATTACAAAAGACAAATAAGAAAACCACATATTTAAGGTGTCAAGGAAAATTTTATGCAGCATATGTCAACATCAGAAGCACACAAAAATTATGATGTCAACCAATGAACATTCCCTTCCAAGTTGAAACACTGCTTGAGCAACAATGAAGACTCCAACTCCTCCTTGTTTGGCCTGTCTGTCAACCTGTCCAGTAATCCAACAATCACTCTCATCTTGGGTATGGCACCATCAAATTTTCCAGCCAATACAGCTTTCCCAATGCTGTTCAATTGACTCTTGATGCCCTCCCAGCATTGATCCTGTTTGACAATGTCCACCAGGGTCTGGCAATTGGTGCACTGTGGGCCAAAAGTCCTTGGGAAGGAAATTTTGCACTTTGGGCAAAAGTATTTGCAATCTGCTCTTGGCACTGCATTCATCATTGGCCAGGAGGAAGTGCAAGCATTGCACTTGCAGGTGAAGAAGTATTGCCTGTTGAGTCTGCAAATTGAAACCCATACCCAACATCATTATAATAACTCATCAGATTATTGTTGTCTTAAACTGGCAGAAATAAACCCTGCATATTTCAATCACTAGAGTCTTCAGTTACTACTGCTACATTTAAGCAACTGTTAAACTTGCAGAGACTTTACAAAGATGTTCAGGGATCAAAACACTTCCATGAGTTTTTCCAATCCAACTCTTTATTATTATTCTATCAAGTGCAAACAATTTTTGGACAAGCATGAAGCAAATAAATTTAGCAGAGAATAAAGATTTCCTGGCAAACTCCAGCAGTGGAAAAGTTAAGTTTAATTGATTGATAAATATATATGCTTTATTTGCTTCTTGAAAGCATTCACAAAGTTCAAAACATTTAACCACATGCTTGCAGAGGATTATGAAATGATCAATAATTTTCAAAAATAATATTTGAGGAGAAATAGGGGCATTATTGCTACCTAAGAAAATGCATTGAAAATTCTCTAATGCTGAATAGGTAAAACAGGATTTTTGCAGAAGTTTTATGTCATTATATTGAGTCTGTTGCATAAAATAAAAAGGTGTATAAAATGATTTGAGACTCTTTAACTGCATTTGAATTGATGTTATACAGTATTACAGAATATACATTCGATTTCTTCACATGCAATGGTACTCTATATACCTCATAGTACAGAGACCATCATAGTGAAAATGTTATGTAGAATAAACATTTATTTCAGTTTACTGTACTGCTGGTAAAGTAAAAGAGCATAGCAATAAGATAAATACTTTCAATGACTGAGCTCAATATGTTTGTATAAATATATAAAGATCATCCAAGCATCTGAAAACTGGAAACCAAAAAATGGAAAACATACCTTTCTTGTCTTTCCTGCTTGGGCATAGAGTATGAAAAGCACCCATAGTTGTCCAGAATCTCTTCCCCCTTTTGAATAGGTCTGAAAGCCCTCACCACACAGTGTGTCCCATAAGAGACCCTCATGACATTGGGACAGCAACTATGATTGGTCATGCTGACCACTGGATACACTGCCCCACCCAGCTGCAAACACTCTGCATTCCTCATGTCACTCTGCTTCACCACACTCTCCACAACCTCATATGCATTGCAGGAGAAGCTCTGCAAAATCCCAAGGATACTGGCACACAACTTATCCTTGTCCTCTTGTGCCAATTTGGGGAACTTGGGGCTGAATTCCAGACAGGTTTCTAGGTAGATAGCAGTCAGGGTTCTCTTGAGCATGTCTCCCATGGGTCTGTCAGAGGCATGTTGTTCCAAGTTGGAGATGCAGGAAAGGGGGTCTTCTGGGTTCCAGAAATCAGATGATGGGTTGCTGAAGGAATCACAGGCTTGGATCAGGTTCTGGATGCCAGCTGTGAGGACACAGCGATAGGCCAGCAGGGCCATGCTGCCAATGTTGTCAGATGTCAGGGCTTCCAGGTGGGAGCACTCAAATTGGTGAGTGGATGCCCAGCAGGAGTCTCTGCAGAGCTCATTACAGAACAGCACCTTTTTTTCAGAAACACATAAATACCAAAGAAATTGCATGTTTTATATGTGAAATTTTTGAATGGTGTTTAATTCATGTAGATATATACTCACATCACTGCATTGAAAGCATGGGACAAAGGCCTCCAGTCTCAGGAAGCAATTGGAACAGTGAGTATCAAACTGAGAGGGCTTCAGACTCTTGCAAAATGGCTTGTCAATGATCACCACATCACCTGCAATGAAAAGAGTTCAAGATCAGCTCTTTAAAAAAACACAATACAATTGTTCTGAAAGAAAATCATGGGGTTTTTTCTCTGAATAATTTATTACCAGATTTTCAAAATTAATGACTGGAAAATATTTTCATACAGACTTTCCTATAATCCATTAAATCTTGCTTTCCTGGCATTCTTCTATATTTTTTTAATATTGTTTGAAATACTGAGTGATGTTTGGAAAATAAACTAACTTCAGTCATGCATTTCTTCAGTTGCAACAATATCTTCATTCTGGGATGATGATTAATGGAGCCACTTGGAATGCTTGTTATTGATGAAAGTTTCCAATCAATGAATAAAAGAACCAGTCAGTCAAATTTGGGTTCAGAAATTTCAGACTGTGCCTGCCTTATATAGTCATAACATTTCTACCTGGAGAATGTATTGAACATTCCTAAAAAGAGTTTTTTTTGGTGGATATGGAAAGTTTGTAATAACAAGATTGCTTCAATATTTACTCTATATGGGCTTATTCCTGTCATCAGGACTTGAAATAAAGTAATATGTTGCACTGACAATTTTGTTGTAATGGTATTTATTGCAGCAGAATTTGACTTCATTATCTCTACATGAAGAACAGATGACTGAAGATTTTGTAACAATGCAATTTCATTATTCATTAATTTTTTTTAATTTGACTGCACATATATATTCATGATGGTACCAACCAACACTGATGTCCCTATGGTGGCCAGGATTCTCCTGCCCCAAAATTTTCACCAGCAAAATTTGCACAAGAAAATTTTGATTACATTATTCTCCCCATGAAGAAATTTGAACAACTAAAAATGTTGTTCCAATGCAATTTCTTCATTCTTTTTTTTTAACAAAATTCATTTACTGTAGTAGAATTCTGTTACAAATCTTGTTATACCAATATTTTTTTCTTGATACTGGCAGTTTCTCATAGGCATAATGTTATAAAAATCTCAATTATTATAATGAAGTAATTTTAGGCTATGTAATCTCATAGCAAACTTATATGGGCATGATTCTGTGCATAGCCAATCCAGTGATTACTCAATAAATGGCAGAAAACCTAGAACAAATTAAAAGATGTAACATTAAAACATCAATAGAGAAGAAAACTTGGTGTACAAATAATACAAAACAGAACATACTTTTCAAAATTCTTCAACTCATCCATTTTAGAATGCCTGCCTTTTTCAAATAAACAGCATGATGGAACTATGTTCCCCCATGTTTGAAAGAGCTATGAGTAAATAAGTTGATGGAGAAGGAAGTGCAGCATTTTTACCATATGTAATTTTTTCTCATTTTATATTTCAAGACAAGCAATA